GGCTACAGCGGGGAGGGGGCTGGAAGATGGGTAAATGGAATAAAGTGCATCAACCTTACAGAAGTAGGTGGAAACTAGAATTTTGGTGGTGATCGTGAAGTAGTGTATATGCACCGCAGGTATAAGACTGCACATCTGAAACTTAGGCAATGTTGTGGACCAGTGTCCCCTCAATTAAAAATAAAAGCAAAAAGTTAAATAAGCAAAGGCATGCATTGGAGCAGACAGGTAGACCAAGGGCTGAACTCCAGCCCCTTAACTCTTGACCCACCCACCCAGGAGGGGGTAGGTGATGAAGTGCACTGGCCTGCTCCACCCCTGATGCCCTGAGCGTGGGAATGCTGGGAAGGGGGTGGAGCTGAGCAGGAAGGGGGTGGGGTTGAATGGCCATTTTAAGAGGCATTAAAAGGGAGGGCAGTACCTGGGTTTCTTTTTTGTTTTGCTTGGACCTGCCAGGGAGGGTAATTGTACCCTGGTCGGCTGGGCAGCAGGCCCTGGTGCCCCCTCCACACCTCAGCAGTGACAGGCCTCTGACACACCCCACTGCCCCAGTGGTGGCTGGAATTGGTAAGACTTTGCCTGGAGGGCCCAGGCTGCAGCTCCAGACTTGCCCCACCCTGCTGGCTCCTGTCATAGCAGCTCCACCATTTCTCAGCAGAACCTTCTCCCCCTACTCTGTTGGTGAGAATAAATTGTATTCTTCCCCTTTTCTGCACCCAAAGCCCTTTTGTTTGCATTTGTGGTGGTGGTTGCCCAAGCCAGAGCCAGTGACCCCCTGAAGCTTTTAGACCCTTTGCCTGAACAACACGTGCACACACACAAAAGGCAGGACTCTGGGACCACACTGTCACTCCCTAGGGCATGATAATAACTATTAAACAAGGTGAAGGCCTTTGAAGTGCTCAGATGAAAGGTTTTACCTAAATACAATGATGCCATTACAACCCACCACATTCCCAGCCAACAGGGTGGCTGGCTCTTTAGTCAGCATTTCACCAATGATGATGTTATGACAACTGCCTTGTGATAAAGAAATTTAAAATAGTTTCAAATGATCTTGCTACTTCTTAATCTAATTTCTTAAAAGGCAAAAAGAAAAAAAGTTTTCTTTAATCAGAGGGCAGGAGCAGGCAGCGAAAAGCTGACGAATGGCATTTTAGAAGCAAGACCTACAGAGTTAAACAAAAAATAATGAGATAAATTAAAAACATGGGAGGAAAAAAAATTAAACACTCATTAGAAAGAAGGGTAAAGAGCCTCCCTAGTGGTACAACAGGTTAAGACGCAACCTATGAAGCAATCCACAGCCACTGCAGCACAAGTTCCATCCCTGGCCAGGGAGCAACCCACATGGCACAGCAGATCTCTCCTGTCTCCCCACTGCTCCCCTCAGCAGTGTACTTCAGTCCTTCTGCCTGTTCTGCTCCCCGCTCTGTCTCTGGTGAATCCTCTAACCCCCCTACCTCCCCCCCACCTCTGGCCTATACCCCAGTTCTTGTATGCATAAATAAATAAATCTCAAAAAAAAAAAAAAAGATGTTTAAAGAGCTTGAGAAAGAGGCAGCCGGGCCTGGCTGGGGGGGGGGGGGGCGGGGAGAGGTGCTCCATGATCGACCAGGGCCTGGAGGGAGGGAGAGGGAGAAATGGCAGCACGCTGAGCCGCAGACAGAAGGCGCAGAAAAAAGAGGGAAGGGGTGGTTGTTAAAAAGGCAAAACTAGACCTTCCCGAGTCGTTGGCGTGCGGGTCGGGCGGCCGTAGCCGTGGGTCGGGGTCGGCGCCCAGATGTTTCAGAGCCTCATTAAAAATGTTTGGACCCCCATGAAGCCCTACTACACCCAGGTCTACCAGGAGATCTGGGTAGGAATGGGGCTGATGAGCATCATCCTTTACAAGATCAGGAGTGCTGATAAAAGAAGTAAAGCTTTGAAAGGTCCGAGTCCCAAGGTGCCCAAGGCCACCACTGACCGGCCCGCCGCAGCGCCAGGCCGATGGAGCCGGCAGCGTGGGACGTCCCTGTGCCCTCGTCCAGCCCCGTCTCCTCCTTGACGTGAATAAATGTCCCTGTGAGAAAAAAAAAAAAAAGGCAAAACTAAAGAGAGGGGCAGTGCAGGGGGCTGGGGCTCCTTGGAGCCCTGACAGGCCCGCTCACCCTTCGGAGTCCAGCCCTCGTGCAGGCCTGTCCCTTGGAAGCCTGCCCGGGATGAGGTGAGATGAGACCACGCAGCATGATGGAGAAGGCACGGGAGGGAAGTGGAAAGATCTGGGTTTTGGCTTAGTCCTGGTTCTGCCACTCACTGGGCTGCGCAAACTCGTAACTCCCCTGAGCCTCAGTGCGCACGTCCAGGGGACAGCGCCACCTGCCCTGCCTGCCGCACCTCGATGCAGGAGGGAAGAGCGTGCGGGATTGGGACAGCACTAGGTCCAGATGAGGGGTTCCCCAGCAATGATGGAGACCGTACCGCGGGGTACCTGCTACAGAACTCCTTTTCACGGACTAGACTTGAGTTTATGTACCAGCATCGCTTCATCACGCTCTGCTCGATGAGGATATGGGGGACTGTGCAGACAGTAGTGATGCCAACAGGCCACACCAGCTGGGTCTGTGATCACACTCTGTGACCCTCCGCAATGGTGAATGCCCAGGGACGCGTGGTTCAGAATATGCCCCCTCAGTACCTGACACAGCTGGATACGGTTTATGTAGTTGTAAGAGTTACATTATAACAGTTACACGTAACAGTTACCCGTAAGATAGGTAAGATAGGTACATCTCACACACACAGGTCACCTTTAAAGCCATTTGTGTCATCTGTATTGACATGTAGGAACATCAGTATTTCATGTTTAACCTGGCTTGGATAGACGCTGAAGTAAATGTGGTAACAAACAGGGTGTTTCACAAGAGCAGATGACTCTGAATCTAAAAGTACAAGAGGCCACAACCTACTAAAGATAGAGCTTCCATATGATCCAGCAATTCCACTCCTAGGTATTTACCCAAAGGACACAGAAACATCCATTCCAAAGAGCACCTGCACCCCTGTTTATAGCAGCACTGTTTACAATAGCTAAGCTTTGGAAACAACCCAAATGCCCCAAAACAGATGACTGGATCAAGAAGATGTGGTCCATATACACCATGGAATATTACTCAGCATTCAAAAAAGATAAACACATGCAATTTGCAGCAACATGGATGGCGCTGGAAGGGATCATGCTCAGCGAAATAAGCCAGAAAGAAAAAGAAAAATACCGGATGGTCTCACTCATAGCAGGAATCTAGAAAACCAAATATGGACCAGGAAAAAGACTAATTATAAGAAAGAAAAAAATCAAAATCAACAAACAACTATGAACCAGAGGCACTCTTTGTGGGGGGGGAAGGGGAGGGATTGGGGTCAAAATCGGGGTTGCAATTATATGGGGAGTACAAAAATAAAATTAAAAAATCCTGAAAAAAAAATAAATAAAAGTACAAGAGGCCAGACAGGAAGCTGGTTCGCTGTCTTCACAAATGGCTGCCGTGTCCTTGGACAGGGAGTGCTTTGCTGCTCATGATTTAATTGAAAAAAAGCAACTTAACCAGGGAACAATCAGAGGACAAGGTAAGGCACTAAAACTGAGCAGCCTGGGGCCTAGTGTGGGACCTGCCTTCCAGGGTCCTAGAGGTTTAAAGGGAAGGCGCTTGAGTAGCTGGACTTGGGGAACCTAGCACACCAGGTAGCACTACACAGGTGCCAGTGCCCTCTGACTCCCCAAGTATTTGACAGTGACTGGGAGGTGACCAAACAGCTTGTCAGGAAAGCAGGTGACACCTGTTGAAGAAAGGAAACTAGAGCATAGAGAACCCAGTAGAAGGGACAGGAGTAAGGAGATTCAAAGCAATGCACATGAGACACACACACACACACACACACACACACACACACAAGCGCAGGGAAGACAGCATTTAGGAGTGTCAAGTACAAGAGGATTATGAAAGACAAGGAATAAGGAACAAAGATCTCCTTATTCAATGGCTCTCAGAAGCTAAGGATAGGGGGTCCACGCTGGACACTTAGAGGGAAGGCCTGCGTGGTGGATGATGGGCTTACACCAGGACTTTCCTGGGCAGTTACCCAGGATGTCAGCCCAGCCAGGAAGGCAGCAGATGCCATCTGTCCACTCAAAGGTTGTGAAAAGAAAAATAGGACATGAGTGAGAACTAGCAGGCCTAAGAAAAGGCATTATCGGTTATTTATTTGGGAAGCCGGGGGTGTCTGGAGGTTTAGAAGGAGTCTGTGGACAAGGACATGCTGTGCCCTCCACCCCCTGAAGCTCGGGAGGCACAGAGGCCCCCAGTGTTCTGGCGTGAATGTGGTCTGTGGGAGCCCAGTCCTCCAGGAAGAAGGCCCAGGATAAGCAGGAATTATAGGAGGAAGAAACTGTGGAAGGAAAGAAAGAACAGTTTGATGACCAGAAAAGGCAGGCTGGAGCAAGCAATCTAGACACCAGAAGAGAATGCATGTCCACATTAGCCTTCCCTGTGACCTCTCCCTCAAAGGAAAGCAAAGTGATAAGAAAGTGAAGCTAACCCCCAAGACTTCTTCAGAGCTCAGGCCTGCAGAGATGGCAGAAGTGAAGCAAGAAGGAAACACATCATTTCATTCAGTGCTCGGCACTTAATTTCATTTCCACTTGAGGGCTGAGAGGTCAGTGGACACCCTTCCAGCTAAATTTAAACTGGAAGAGAAAACAAAGGTTGCTGTCAGGAGACAAAGACCCCACTGAGCCTGTGCGGGAGCGGAAACTCTGACGAACGTCAGAGAGAGGTTAAATAATCTACAGACAATCCGTAAAGGACAAGGAGGCGACTCGTCCAAACTTAGCTCGACCTCACCCCAGTGAAAGAGGTTTCCTTGGAGCACGCGCGCAGGAGAACCCGGACTGCCTGGCAGGCCTGAGCGTCAGTGAGGGTCACAGGCAGAGCGTGCATCTGAATAACCAGGCGACAGGCATTTATTACAAAAGTCAGTTTATTTTTCCTTCCTGTGTTTCGTATGTTCCCTTTTTGTCAGTCATGAGCCACTGACTTCAGATATCTGTTCGATTAAATAACATTGACCACACCACATTTCTGAGTAGAAAGAGGTTGAAAAATAGCCCCCAACCCAATGCAAATTAGGCAGCCCTCAAAATTGCACATTTCCCCCCTAGGTTGCTAATGTTTTTAAAATCTAGAGACAGAATGGCCTTAAAAATATTGATAATGAATTAATTAAAATATCAATAATTTGCAGCCTTAAAGACACGTATTCTACAATCTTCTAAAGGACAGTTACCCCGTGGGCCCTGGTCACACACTGCGACGCTCTAAAGCCACACATGTAGAGCTTCCTCAGACAGAAAGGCCTGCCCTTTGCTCTAATTCTAGTCTTCTGATGTAACTCAAGGAACCCCACTGTAACAGAGATTAGGCCCCCCAAAACAGAGCTAACCAGATTATTGTCCTAGTGGATCCTTGAGTTCCAGGCAGCAAACCTGGAGTTAAGTATGTGGGCTGAGTTACGCATCCGAACGCTCCCAGGCAACTGGTGTACCATGTGGTCCGTGAAAGGCAGTCTGTGGACTGCCAAGGAGTCAGAGTTGGCTTTGAATGAAGACGAGAGAACAGAGCTGAATGACTTCAGACCAGACAGATGGACAGAGCCAGTCAGCACGGGTGTGATTTTACACAACACCTTTTAAACATGATGCTTTGTCCAAGGCAGGCTTTGGCTTGATCCAGCTTGAGCACTTTATCAAGATCTGATATCTCCAGGACGGGCAAATCACTCCTGAAGAAGTGAAATGCACCGATCCTTTCTGTGTCCGGAGACATCACTGATGCGAAGTGGGTGGGACGCTCGTGGCCAGGCTGGAGAGCAGGCCCGAGTCCAAAGGCATTTAAGGTTAAAGGGATAAACCTCAACAGGCCAAACAAAGATGCCGGCAGATTCCTAGGCCACTGGCACATTCCTGAAGCAACAGCAATGAATAATTCTTGTAGTGTAAAAAACAGCCCAGCCTTCACTGCTGCCAGCATCTCAGGGGGCGATGCTGCGGGAAGAGGCCTGGCAATCTGAGGTTACGCTCGAGTTCTTAGGGTCACCCCCAAACAGAGGGCACTGAAAGAAATAAGTCTTGACATCTCCAATTGTTCTTTTTCTCTTGTGGGCACCGGTCACTCACGCAGTATGTGAGCCTGTCGTCTCTGCATAAGGTGATATATTTCCCTCACTATTAAGGGCGAGATAAATAGAATCGTGCAACTCGTCTGTGAAGAGAAGAAAGCATTAACGAGGTGGGGACAGTTTCGTTCTGCTAGGGCATCAGGTTTTCAACATCATAATGAATTAGAAAATGATTGTGAAAACTTAGTATTACAAAACCCTTAATGTTACTTTACAGCCTCCAAAAGAACTAAGGGACATACATTTCCAGAGCTGAAAATTGGTACCGGAGCTCAGAGCCATGTTTCTTACAATAGACTCTGTTTTCCTTCTAGCACGAGCACACCAGCAGCGCCATCAGGGGCATTTTCTCTGCTTAGCACAGACACCAGACGTGGGATGCAGAGTCGGTGGCCCCCTCTTTAGAAGCTAGAAGTCTTCAGGCATGAGAATGCATCCTCTGTGGCAGCTCCAGGGATTCTGGGAGCTGAACTGTCCCCAGGCAACTTGGATAGGCTAAAGGATAACATCTGGACTTGGGGTGACTGAGGCTGCTTCCAATTAGGTTGTCCTCGATTTGGGGACAGGACTCTGAATGCCTCCCCCAGGGAAGGAGCTGTCAAGAGTCTCCAGAAGGCCTCTCCGAATGTCACCATGGCCATCGAGGGCTTGGGTGAGGGTGGGCTTGGTTAGCACAGAAATTTCTAACAGCACAGGCTCATTCTGTATTGGCTCTTTCCCAGAAAGCACAACATTCCAGCTAAGAATGTCTAAGGCACTACAGATATTTTCTTAAGAGATTCTCATTTAGAACCTACACACCACAGTGTTAATTATAGCGTCGCTTCTTTTTAACCCCATGTTACTGAGCATACATTTCATTTCCTTCAGAACCCCCAGATTATATTTAGCAGATGGAGAGCACCCGGAAAGAGCACACAGATTAATGGTTGGTGAGGCTTTCAAGAAGTCTCTCGTCACTTTTTCTGGAATTATAAATGACAATACTCATTAGACTCAGGTCAAGGGCAAACTAAGGAGCCTTTCTCCACTTGGAGGGAAAAAAAAAAAAAAACCCATGTCTTTTAGACTAATAAAATGTTACTTTTCACAAAAGGGTCTTTAAAAGCTATCAGCAATTTTGCTGGCTTAAGAAGTGATTTGCTTGGGACTAGACTAAATTAACAAGAAAAACTACTAATTAGAAAAAACAAGCACACACTTACCATGAGAATAAAAAAGTAGAAAACCCACATCCATCCTAGATTGTCCTGGATCAAAGAGACTAAATACTAAAAGGGAGAAAAAGAAATTACAATGTAATCCTTTATAAATTAGCCAAATGAAGTAGTTGAAAGCAGACTAAACATGGCATTCCCAAATCAGAAGGTATCTGGGATCGTAGAAGGCTGGGCAGGTCACCAAGCTTCTCCACACCCCTGTCGCTACTGAAGCTTTATTAAAGGCTTCACTGTGTAAGCAAGTAGGATCCAGGCACAAAAACGGTAGGACAGAAGACATAAATTAAGGAGGTCTATTTTTATTCACTTTGGTATGAAGAGAAGACGAACCTCCTCCAGCCATTTCTGTTTAATCATTCCTCCTCCAGTGAAAGTGCTAGAACTGAGACTTACAAAAATAGTCTGTCTTTTAAGTGTGTGGTTCAATTTTCATTTCTATTTGCACATAAGATTACTTTACTACTAACAATCTACAGCATATTATTCTTTTCTTTCTTTTTGCACACCTATCATGCCATGAATTCATAGGGAATAGGTTCTAGCAGCTCAGGCTCCTTCCCATTGGTTCTCACAAAGTGTCTCTAGGTGGAGCAGGCTGGCGCTTCAGCTGAACCCAAGTACCCTTCTTTAGGTGGAGCAGGCTGGCACTTCAGCTGAACCCAAGTACCCTTCTCTTTGGCTTACTTTTTCTTCTGATCATTTTCTTTCACACGTTTCAGGAAGTTATCTCGGCTCTTAGAGTGCTTAATGTGCTCAACATGGACATTAATTCTCTTTGCAAGAATCTTGCCCTTTACTTGCTTGTTTACAACAATGCCAACTGCATGCTGGGTAACATTATAGACTCTGCCGGTTTTGCCATGGTAACATTTGTGGGGCATTCCTTTTTGAACAGTGCGCATCCCCTTGATGTCTACAATATCACCTTTCTCATAGAGTCGCATGTATGTGGCCAAAGGAACAACTCCATGTTTTCTAAAAGGCCTAGAGAACATATAGCAGGTCCCTCTTCTCTTCCCCTTTGTGTTAGTCATTTTGGCGACTTACTGGAAGATGGTGGTTCCGGCCGACAGGTACAGCATATTATTCTTTTACTTTACTTTCAATTACTGAAAAGGATCTAATAGCATTTAACTCAATTTTTATTTATTATAGTAACCCATAATAAAACTTAAAATTAAGCAATTTAACCAGTTTTAAGCGTATGTCTCAGTGTCATTCACAATGTAGCAGAACTATCTCCACTATTTCTAAGATTCCCCAACACCCCAAACAGAAACTCGGTGCCCATTAAGCAATAACTTCCCATCATCTCTCCTCCCAGCCCTGTAAACCACTAGACAACTTTCTATCTTTAGATATTTCACACTAAGCAGAATCATGAGATTTGTCCTTTTGTGTCTGGCTTACTTCACATAGCATAATGTTGCACTACATAGCAGAACTTCACTCCTTTTTATGTCCAACTAATATTCTACTGTATGGCTATACCACATTGTGTATCCATTCATCTGTTAACAAATACTTGAGGGAACTCCCTGGTGGCGCAAGGGATTAAATCTCAGCACTACGAAGCTGTCTGCAGCCACTGTAGCACAAGTTCGATCCCCAGGCAGGGAGCTGACCCACATGGCACAGCAGACCTTTCCTGTCTCACCCACTGCTCCCCTCAGCAGTGTATTTCAGTAGATCCACCTGTTCTGCTCCCCACTCTGTCTCTGGTAAATCCTCTCACTCCCCCTGCACCTCTGACCTACAGCCCAGCTCTTTCATGCATAAATAAAATGAATCAATACATAAATGCATACTTGATTTGTTCCCACCTTTTGATTACTATTAACAATACTGCAATGAACACTGGAATACAGCATCTGAGCCACATTTTCAAGACTTTGAGGTGCATGCTGAGCAGAATTGCTGTCCACAAGGTAATTCTGTTTAACCTATTGCAGAACCACCAAAGTATTCTCCATAGCTGCACCACTTTACATTCCCACCAAAATGTGTACAAGAGTTGCAATTTCTTCACATCCTCACTAGTACTTACTTCCTTTAAAAAAAAAAAAAATCATAAGCCACCTGAGAAGGTGTGAAATAGTATCTCACGGTATCTTTAATTTGCATTTTCCTACTCACTAAGGATGTTGAGAGTCTTTTCATGTGCTTAATGATCATCTGAATATATCTGTCATGAAGATTTGACCCTAGTTTTTTCCTAAAAGTTTATAGTTATAGTTCTTAAAGTTCAGTGTTTGAGCTACTGAGATAATTTTTGTATGTATATGTGTTTTGTAGTCTGTATGTGTAGGTCAGAGGTGTGGGGGTAAGAGGATTCACCAGGGACAGCGTGGGGAGAAGAACAGGTGAATCTACTAAAATACGCTGCTGAAGGGAGCAGCGGGCAAGACAGGAGAGGTCTGCTGTGCCTTGTGGGCTGGGGATTGAACTCATGTCACAGTGACTGGCAGTGGCTTGACAGCCCTGAGACTTAACCCCTGCACCACCAGGGAGGCCTTCTATTGGCCGGCCTTGATACCCTTGTCAAAAATCAATTTTGACCATAGATTTGAATTTAATCCAAGCTCTTTAATCACATTATTAAAGTAGAACTGAATGATTCAGCCTAGAAAATATCATGGAAAGCATAAAAGTAGAGGTCTAGTCACCCAATAAAGCTCAGTGGCCCTCCTCACTCAGACTACTTTATCTTTCTTTCTTTTTAAACAGCCTTATTGATTAAAAAAAATTACATAAAGTTTACTTATTTAACATGTACAACTCAATGGCTTTTACTTTTTTTAGAGTTGTGCAACTATCACCACAATCTAGATTTAGAGATTCTTTATTCCCCAAAGAAGCCCTGTACCCATAAGTCACTACCCAGACTCTCCCAACTCTAGGCAACTGCGAATCTCATTTCTTTCCCTATATATTTGCCCATTCTAAATATTTCACATCAATAAAATCATCTACAGTATGCAACGTTTTGTGATTGCCTTCTTTTACTTATTAGCATAATGTTTTTGAAGTTCCTCCATGGTGTAGCATCTATCAATTCTTCATCCCCTCTAACTGCCAAAGATAGTCCCTTGTGTGACATCCAACAGGGGGGTAATTTTGAAGATATGTAAAGAACTTATATAACTCAACAACAACAATAAAAAAAATCAACCCAATAAAAAAATGGGCGAAAGGGCCTCCCTCCCTGGTGGCACAGGGGTTAAAGACAGCGCTATCAAGTTATCGCCAGCCACTGCAGCATGAGTTCTATCCCCACCGCAGGCCAGGAGCAACCCACATGGCATAACAGACCTCTCCTGCCTTGCCCGCTGCTCCCCTCAGCAGTGTATTTCAGTGAATCTGCCTGTTCTGTTCCCCATTCTGTCTCTGGTGAATCCTCTCGCCTCCCGCACCTCTAGTCTATACCCCAGTTCTTGTATGCATAAATAAATAAATCTTAAAAAAAAAAATTGGCAAAAGACCTGAATAGAAACTTCTCCAACAGACATTCAGATGGCCTATAGGCACATGAATAAAACACTCACTATCACTTATAAGACAGACGCAAATCAAAATATATTGAGATTATTACCTCATATCTAGGAGAACAAATCATATCAAAAAGACTGGAAACATGTTGGAAGGGTGTGGAGAAAAAAGAACTCTTGTTCACGGTTGGTGGTAATGTAAACGGAGTCTGCCTCCACAGAAAATGGCATAGAGAACCCTAACAAACTAAAAGTGGGAATGCGGTACGATCCAGCAACGCCACTTCCAGGTATTTATCCAAAGAATAAGAAAACACTAATCCGCAAAGGCATGTGCAGTGCTGTGTTCACAGTATTATTCATGATGGTCGAGACATGGAATCAACCTACACGCCCACTGACAGGTGAAGGAAGAAAGAAGCTGTGGTGGAATCAGTGGAATCAGAAAAGAGAAAAGCGTGCCTTCTGCAACAACATGGCCAGAACTTGAGGCGACTGTGTTGAATCAACTAAGTCAGAAACTGAAAGAGGATTTGTGGGTGGTTTCACTCATGTGAATATAAAGAAACAAGACAAATGAAAAACACAACAAAAGTAACTGCTAGACTCTGAGAAACATGGAGGTCACCAAAGGAGACAGGGAAAGGGGGTGGTTCACTGGTTTGTAGCGGCCAATGTGACAGTGTGAAGGCACGAGAACTTTGGTGGTGGCTGCATGAAGCAGAGACACCTATCAAGGTGCAAAGATGTACCCCTGAAATTATAAAGTTTGGTGGATACATGGTAAATCAAAATGAAAAGTGAATTACAAAATACTCCAGTGTATGGCAAGACCACATTTTGCCAATACACTCATCCAGCTGATGGCCATGTGGGCTGTTTCGGCTGTTCAGCTGCTATGAATAATCTAGCTTTGCCCATCTGCACACAAGTTTTTATGAAAGCATTTGCTCTCATTTCTCTCGGGTCGATACTGCGACTGAATACCCAGTCCCAGCTATGGGCGGAAGCCCCACGCACAGGGAATGTAGATCAGGAAATGGCTCCTGTTCTGAGGAAAAGCAGCTGGTGCAGGGGAAGAGAAACCACCCGTCAATGTGACACACTGGGACAAGTCTCTATTAAAGGAAACCAGGAGGAAAAAAACATTTCCCCCCTTGGGAAATCAAGGAAAGGTGGGGGGAATAAAGTCATTCAGTGTGAATTAGGGAAACCGCGGATGAGGGTGACAGGGCTTCTTGTAGTAAGACTCAGAGTTTGTGGTTTCACCTTGCAGGCAACTGGGAAACCCTTCAAAAACTAACTGAGGAGAGGAGTGAGCCAAGCCGACAATGATTTACTGCTCTTCCTGCTTCCCCGCCACGACGGTGCATGTGAAGCTGACTGTGTTCTCAGCTAGGGATCTGAACATCGGCAGGGGAGACATTTTCAATAAAAGTGACTCGGCGAGTGTGTGGGAAGCTTCACATTCTGGGCCCAAATGAACATCCCAGATGACTCTGACATAAGACAGTGCAAACCACCTCTGAGATAGTCACAGGAAGCAGAGAAAGTGACTCACAGCAGATGAGGAACCCAGGCAATTTCCAGTAGGGACCGGTGTGAGGCCTGTGACCTGTGTGTGTGGTCAGCTAGGGGAGAACAGACAGGTTTGCATGCCAGGGGGGATAAGGAGAAGTATGTGTCTCGTGGGCTCCCTGGGGTGCCAAGTTCAGGCTGGGAAGGAGAAGGTGGTGGCCTGGGAGCAACAACCCGTCTCACAGGGCTCAGCAGATCTCCAGAGAGCAACAATCTGGAGGCAGAAGTGGGAAGAAACTCAAAACTGTAGAAGGCCCCCACTATACAGTCACATCAGGTGGGCCCCAGAGGAGACTGGCTACCTCAGGCTGTAGCACTGGCCACAGCAGAGTGAGAGTGCCACCTACTGCAGCCCACGGGCAGCCACACCTTCATTCACCACTGGCTGGGCCCCGGCCCACTCACCTGGCCCACCGCAGCGCCGATGCTCCCAGTTCCATCAACGATTCCTGTGACAGTCGCCAAAGCCTCGCTGCTCCCTTGGACCAGCTCCTGGCGACCCAGGTCCGCAGAAATAGCAGAGCTAATCATGTTAGAAGGCCCACCAATAAAAAAGCCTGCAGTGACAAACAGAGCAGGTTTTTAATAAGACACTATCGTGATACCACCAGGAATCCATTGGCAAGACAAACGTCAATATTTGCAGCACTGTGTTGGAAACTAAAAGGAAAAAATAACCGGTAAAAACGGAAATTCTGCCAGAGAGGATGAACTTTAAACTAGTGGGCACTCAGTTTCCTAAAATCTGTTCTTGAATTACAAGGGCCTAGTTTCTTTGATAGAAAGCAAAGATGTAGAAAACAGAGTGGGGGCCTCCCCAGTGACACAGCGGGTTGAGCACAGCGCTGTGAAGCTGTCCGTAGCCTCTGCAGCGTGGGTTTGATTCCCGGCCGGCCCGTGAGGGAGAAACCCACATGGCGCAGCAGACCCCTCCGTCGCGCCCACCGCTCCCCTCAGCAGTATTTTCGCTCCGTCTGCCTGTTCTGCTCTCCGCTCTGTCTCTGGTGAATCCTCTCACCCTCCCACGCCTCTGACCTGTACCCCAGTTCCTGCATTAAAAAAAAAAAAATCTCAGGGCCTCCCCTAGTGGTGCAGTGATTAAGCGCTGGGCTGTGAGGCTGCCCGCAGCCTCTGCAGCGCCAGTTCGTTCCCAGGCCACCGGCGAGTGTCCCAAAAAAAAAAAAAAAAAAAAAAAAACCTTAAAAAAATTAAAAAAAAAGAAAATAGAGTGAACACGCAGCCTGTGGGACGTGCATTCTCTGATAACGAGCCACACCTGCTTGTCACCTCCTGTGACAGCAATGCTGCCTCAGATGAGCATCTAAGTGAACCAACATATGGGGGGGGGGGTGCTGCGAGAAGAGAAAAAGTGGTGCCAGTGGTCGTGGCTGCTGGGGCTCTCAGGGAGGCCCTGGGGACCGGTGGAGCGGGCCACCAGAACCCGTTCACAGAACCCATTCGTCAGTCCATGGGCCTCACGGCACGTCAGCGGCTCTCCCCACCCTAAGAATGATCTGAAGTTTAAAGATAAATCACATCCTATAATGGGGGCCCTAAGTCACGCAACTGTTTAATCGGTGCTCAAGAAACACTGGCCAGTTCCGGGGGAAGACGAGCCCCGTTGGCTTTTTGAAAGCGAATGAACAGGTTTCCCTGTGGCGGCTTCCTAAGCCAACTGCAGAGGTACCACACGAAGCCAGACAGCAATCAAAAATTCTAGGCAATCTGTCCAAAGGACCACTGGACTGGGGAGGTCACCGAGGAGCAGAGAACGGGGGTCTGGAGGGGCGGCTCTCCGCACGCCATCTGAGTTCTCCGTGACGCGGGCTGTGGTGTTACTCCAAGGAGAGCACGGTCTCCTGCTCACGGGCGGCAGAGCAACAGCAGCGTGTGAGGGGGCTGGGGCCGTACCTGTGACCACCATCAGCAGCGCGTTAATGGACTTATCATTTGGAGAACCTGTGGGGAAAGACACAGAAGTGGCAGCTGGCTCTAAAAGCACATGGAACAGCAGACGTAGCCCTGGCGTCTGTGACCTCCCAGCTCGTTCCCGGAGATGACAAAGGGATACGACTCTCGCCGCCCCACCCACCCTTTCTTCATGACGTCTGCCTCTCGCTGGCGTGCAAGCTAATGAGACTTCTAAGAGCCCAAGAAAACTCCACTCCCATGTGAGCAGCATCTTAAGGGACACAGGCCAAACCTACTAATTACCACCTTTCGTCTTTTGAAACCTTTTCCCTTTTATTGTTTTATTGGCTCTAATGCTGTCCCTCTGGAGCCTACCCACAAACAAAGCACATACACTCCCCAGCAAGCTTTTAAACAAATCCACAAAGCAGCAGAGATGCCAGTTTCCTCCCCAATCCAAATAAAACCAGTGGTGATCGCCTTAGCAGGCACTTACGGGACAAGACAAAGGTCCCGTGTCGTGCCTTTGTGGCTAGTCTCGAGGCCCTCCCCAGGCTGGCCGCTGACCTAGGGCACAGGCCCCCAGCCTCAGAGATCAGGATAATTCAACTGCAAAGGAGTACTCACGGCTATATCCTACGAGGGACCCCACGGCCAGCAGCAGACTCAGAGCTAACACTGGTGCTCTCTTCTGTAACAGGTCAGAGATGAAGCCTTGCAGAGTCCCACCTGCAAACACAAAGAGTGTGTCACAAGCCATTTCCCATTTGGCTCAGTTACCTGCCGCTCGCTCCCCCAGGGCCTCCATCCTTGCTGTCAAGGACCCCAACACCAGTTTATCCAAATAGAGGGTCACGGGCCTCCCTAGTGGTGCAAGGGGTTAAGACACAACCTGTAAAGCTATCTGCAGCCACTGCAGCAAGAGTTCAATCCCCAGCCAGGGAACTACCCACATGGGGCAGCAGACCTCTCCTGACTTGCCCGCTGCTCCCCTCAGCAGTGTATTTCATCAGTCTGCCTGTTCTGTTCCCCGCTCTGTCTCTGGTGAATCCTCTCACCCCCCCACACCTCTGGCCTGTACCCCAGTTCTTGTATGCATAAATAAATAAATCTTTTTAAAAACAAAAAAGAGGGTCGACTGCCAAAGATCCTTCCAGTTTCCTCCTAGGAAGATCACGTGACTGATATTGGCCACACTGGCTGATGGGGGCAGGACTCCAAAATAAGGATCATCAAATCCATCCACTGTCCCTTTGTTTCCACTTCTTGCTCTGGCTATGAGGGTTGTTTTTTCTGCTTTTTATTTTAAAAGATGACTAACTAAAGGCCACACCTCAACGACAATTAACAGAAGATAATGAATACTGACGAAAATGAAATACAACAATTACGGCTTGGTTGGCAATAGCTAACAAGTCAGGGTGTATAAAAAGAGGTGGTGAGAACTGTTTAAGCAACACCGTTGCCTGGAGATACAGTCACACCTGGGGACACCTTGTCTACCTTCAGCAGTAGGACCCAGGAGCTCAGTCTCAAGAGACAAGAAGGGATGGTCAGGTCTAAGGCTGGCAACTTGGCTGCTGACTCTGTATCTAAGGATAAGGGCAGACAAGTTCAACTCCAGTAATAATACATCACCCTGAGCGTTCATGTGCTCAGGGTATTGGTCTTACCACAATTCTTGATGTACACATTATAGAAAGGATACCAGGGTTGTGCCACAGCTACATTAGCAATACCCACTGGAATGTACTCTGTTCATCAGTCTTACTTAAAAGTCTTACTTCCTCGTTTCTATTTTCAGCTGCAGCAAAAAAGTCACAACTAAAATCTGCTGTGTACAATGCAGCAGTTGCAAAACACTCACAAGAACGAACCCCTGCCATCATTCCTACCTCTAAAATCCAGCGAGCTATATACTGAGCCAGTGAAACTTCCCCTTCGGGGCTGGGGTGGTGGGGCGGGTGAAATGAACAGTTCATTCTGACTTGGATCTCTGACATGCCATTAGCTTTCGAGCAGTCATCACTGGACATGTACAAAAGGTTACATCTAAGAGATTACAGAGGGAACTATCCCTAGTTGCCCAAGACAAGAGAGCTGACGCACCCACAAAGAGCTGAGAAGAAAGAACGGTATAAATCACAGCACTGCGCGGGCGGCTCTCCCATCCAGGGGCTTTATTTTTTTTTTAATTTTGGCTGTTTAAAGGCAAAGATTAGGGGAAAATGGCTGTAGAATAAATAATAAAGCTTTAGATGATGCCAGATTTCATAACCCAGTAAAAGATAGCTAGCAACTAACTCTTTCCTGTAAAAAAAATAAATAAAAGATACCCCACTGGCATTACCTATAATTCCTCCAACGTCGTACCAAATGGACAGCTTGTCTGCCTCTGCCTCCTTCCATCCAAAGTTGTTACTCAGATAAAAGGGCAGCCAGAAGAAGAAGGAGTAATTCACCAACTTCAGGCAGGCATAGGCCAGGGAGTACTACAAGAAAAATATTCCACTAAGCATGGACGCAATTTTTATATAATTAAAAAGCAAAACAAGATAGGCGTTTGGGATGAATAACACTTGATTTTCAGATTAAACATCTCTACACATTCTCCTTTGTCATTTACCAAGCCTCCCTCTACTATTTGCTTCTAGAAAGGCATGGACAACAGGCCTTTGGAATAAAAATACACACACAACTATCTCTTAATTGCCCGCAGTTTCTTCTCCCTTCAGTTCTCTGGTAGAAGCAAACCAGTGTTTTAAACCTATAAGGCAGGGTACAAACTCGTATTTCTTTGTCTAGACAAAGATAAAGGTATTCTCGCCACTAACTAGCGTGTGCACTGGCAGGAAAGTGAAGTGAGCAGCGTAGCTGGGATCGCAACAGCCGCTCCCTGGCTCTCCTTTCTGCTGAGTTAATATGAACACGGAGAGCGACGTGACTCATAGTTTGAAGACCTGAGAAAAGCATCAACATTAAAACAACTTTCACATGAGAGCTCCCAAAAGTCGTATATTCATTCCCCCATCCAGTGGAAAAGAAAAAGAGACTCTTTTGGGAATTTTCTGGTGAGTCAGAAATGAAGAAACAGAATTATCACAGGCCTTGTGTTCTACTTTGGGATTGAAAGTTGCAGCTGCTTTAAGATGGTCATGGGGCCGAGAGTCCTATATTCAACACATTATTACCAGGAAATCCTGACATTCAGCATCAAAGGAGAAAGGGGGAGGAACAGAGAGACTGACTTCAAAGGGCGTCTGGCTAGTATATTCTTTTCTCTGGAGCTGCCAGCTACTCCCGAGGTATCACTGTTTTAGAGCAACTTCCTTGGCAGGGCAGCTGCCCCCTAGAGAGCCAAATCCCAATCAGGAGTGTCCAGACGACCCACTACAAGACAAAGGAATCTGGTTAACTAGGTTTCCTTTACATCCCTGCCCATGACAGGGAACAACAGCTTGCGAAATGCAAAAGAAAAGCAAAAGAGCTCCATATTTGGTCTCAACAAATATAAGTTTCATCCCATAAATTAAATAATTACCAGAACATTTTAATGAATAGTTTAAAAAAATGCTAACATTAGCTTAAGAACAGGCCTAAAGAAAGTAGCATTTCCTTATTATTATCCATCAACTTTTGGTAAGGCGTTCTGCGAACTTATTTTAACTATTTGCAAAAGTCAGTTCTCTCACTTTGGGGATATCAGTGGGAGGGAAGTGGTGAGTATGAAATAAGCAATGACCTGTGGACTCTGAATCTGGCTGGAGAGAGTTACATCCATAAAGCACCATTCAAAAACCAAAGAAACGAAAACAGGTGCTATTCACAGCAAACCAACCACCACCCCAGGGCCTGGGGAGGCTGGTAGCTGGGATGTCTGCCGGCGGGGCAGAGACTTAGCCCAGGCCCCACAGCGGGTCAGCGGGTGATCTGGAAACAAAACCTAGGCCTCTTCACACCCATTCCCATGCTAGAGCACCCAGAACATCAAGGCTAGAAATCTGCAGCAGAAGGGATTTAGTGCAGACGCTAGAAAGTTCTCCTGACTGTGAAGGTTGTAAAACACTGGAATGTGTTACCAAAAAATACTGTGGAGTCTCATTCCACTCTGGATCCTCTAGTAAAAGGACAATTTTTCTTCTTGGATTGATCAGAGCATAGACAAATGAAACAGACTTAATGAACTACTCAAAATCCTTCTTGGAGTGAGTGCATGTATATTCCCCTAAAATGTCAACAGGCCAAAACATGTATGTATAAAATTATCAATTCTCCCTTCTTAGTGAATGCTAGCTCAGAGCCGGCAAACCAGAGCTCATGAGCCAAGTCTGGCCACACCTGTTACGCCCTCCTGTCCACAGGTTCCTCTCTAGAGAGGGGAACAGCTGTGGTGGAGACTGCACTGTCCCCCCAAAGCTGAAGACATTTGTTATCAGGCACTACCCAGAGGGGCTCTTCCAATCCCTTTCAAGTCCCCGGTAGAGAAACAAGTGCAGGGCGCTGTACGATATTCCTTGAACACAGATTCCCACATAGAGCAGCAAAGGACAGCTACGTATGTGGAGATCTTCACGCAGGTGGAGTAAACATCAGAGGCTGGGAGGTCTCCCTGGCTGTGGCAGGAAGGCCAGACCATCCTCACCGGTATGACGCCTGGGAGGCAACACGCCTGATGGAAGCTGATGGCCTTGACTTGGGGGACCGCACTGCCTTCTTGGATGGAATAATTAGGCTCATATTCATCTTCATTTTCAGCACCACTGATTAAAGGCCGGTGAGAGTCTTCTTCAACATTTTCTTCTGCCTCAATTCCTGGAAGACCTAGGACGACAACCACCATTGTTTACGGGGTGCTGGGCACTGAGGTGAGAGCCGCACACATCGCACTACCCGGCACTTGATGTTCTCTTTATTTCCATTTTAAAGAAGTAACTAAGGTTCAGAGACCAAGGTCAACTGAGGTCAGCTCAGGTCACAGAGCCAATAAGCAACAAAACAGGCCTCTAAGTAGCTTCAAAGTGATGCTTTTTTAATTCCGTGACAGTATCTCTCTTATATACAGAAAAATGTTAATTACATACTGTTAAACTACATGTCTGCTTAATAATACTCAAAAGATAGAACGGCTCTTAGCTTCAGTGGTTTCCCTTGTACATTACTCTGCATTTAACCATAGATAAGTATCACACTCAATTACTTTTATGAAGAAAAATCTGTCTCAAGAAGGCAAACAGGAAATACATCCAGTAATTAGGGTCTCTCTGGTGGCGCAAGGGTTTAAGCACCGTACTATGAAGCTATCCGCAGATTCTGCACCCCAAGTTCGATCCCCGGCCTGCCAGGGACCTACCCACATGGGGCAGCAGACCTCTCCTATCTCTCCCGCTGCTCCCCTCAGCAGTGTATTTCAGTCAGCCTGCCTGTTCTGCTTCCCACTCTGTCTCTGGTGACTCCTGTCACCCCCCGCAGCTCTGGCCTATACCCCAGCTCTTGTATGCATAAATAAATAAATCTTAAAAAAAAAAAAAAGAAACAAAGAAAGAAATACTTCCAGGCTAATTTCTAGCCAGGGTCTCAATTATAAAATGCATTTGCAAATGCTGAGTTTTCCCTGAATCTCTGCAAGGTGAGCCTCGCTCCCTCGAGTGTTGGCAGTTGCGCCAGGCGCAGCCACAAACAGCAAGGCAGCTCCTATCATTCACTCATAGTTCTAGGAAAAAAAGAGACAGACTTCCTGGCCCCAGATTTCTCCTCAAATGTCACCCAAGTTGTTCTGAACAACACAGACAGCTTCTCCTCACCAATTTCCTCTGGCGACACCAGGAGTCCGAAGAAGATGACGATCCCTCCAGCGAACTGCACCGCGGCCGTGACCAGAAAGGCATACTGGAGGGGAAAAGGGAGGGGGCTTCTTACACAACTGGGGAGCCACTCGGGGCACACGTGGGGAGACGACACTGTGGAGACTGGGAAGGCCATGAGCACTGCAGGCACAGCCTGCCCTGGCACAGAGCTCAGTGTCTTACTTGTGTTTTCTCATAAGTTCTTCCTGATGACCCCGCGAGGCTCAGAGGGGAACTGAGGCCCCTGACACGGAGCAGGCCTGGCTACGGTTGGGAAATCAGGACCTGCTCCAAAAATCTCCCTGTTGTGCCACACAGGCTCCTGCAGGAGGCAGAATGTGTCCTGGAAGATTCTCTGTGCAGCTGAGGGGATTACATAACACAGAGAATAATAAAAGGCAGTAGCCGAGTAAATGAAGGCCCCATCCTAAGTAGAAACACACACGGGGATTTGGAGAGGGGACAGCTACAGAGGGCACCGCAGCCAGACAATGTTTTAATGAGGAGCTGAAAATCAAAGCAATGGACCCCCTTTTCTGGCTCAAGAGCAGCAAAGCCACAAGGTGGGGAGGAGCGTGGGAATCCTCCTCAGGGTGGAAGCAGAGAGCTTCTGCTGGGGGACAGTCGGGACTAGAATGGATTTGGAAAGGTGACAGAACCATTAAAGACTCTGGTAAAGGGGCCTCCTTGGTGACGCAGGGCTTAAGTCTCAACGCTATCAAGCTATCGCCAGCCACTGAGACCTGAGTTCGATCTCCGGCTGGGAGCTGACCCACATGGCGCAGCAGGCCTCTCCTGCCTCACTCACTGGTCCTCTCAGCAGTATATTTCAGCAGATCCACCTGTTCTGTTCCCCACGCTGTCGCCAATGAATCTTCTCACCCCCCACACCTCTGGCATACACCCCAGTTCTTGTGTGCATAAATAAATAAAATAAATAAATCTTTAAAAGAAAACAAAACTCTGGTAAGCCAGGATGCACTGTTGAATTTTATTTAATAAAGGATCCTCATCTGGGGAGACAGTCTGCAATTCTGAACACGTCAGCTTCCAGAAGTCAGATCTGGGAGCAGCAAAAAGGAAGAACCACAACTCCCACCTAAACTGGTCAATACAATCCAGGTGTGGAGCTAAGCAGCCCAGAACCATGCCTGTGGGACAACAACTGCCCACATTCACCAGAACTAGATGATCTTAAAACCAAACACTTGACCAGCTGCTCAAAAATTTATCTCCTTCCTAAAAGAGCAACTTAATTTCCATTATTTATGTTCTGAACAGGCAGTACCCCCACACGGCAACAAAAGTAATACACAAACCCCCTCCCACCCCCTTCTCCCACCCACTGAGTTACCAGCGCACCTCGGCGCAAGTAGCTTCTCCTTTGCAGACTGTTGAAGACATAGAAGCCAATACAAAACGATACACTCTTTCATCCTTCTTGTACACAAATGGCATCACTCCACAGCTTTGCTCTCTTCAGGAAAGCACCACAGAAGCCTCTCCCTGTCACTCTCACACTGCCTCTCTCTGGGTCTCCTGCACAGCTGCATGGCCCCCCACTGAACAGGTGAGCCACCGCTACAGCCTCTCCTCCGCTACAGCCTCTCCTCATAAGCTGACATTTGCGGTATCAAAAGGTGCTGAGGGAAATAACCCGCAGATGCAGCGCCCTGCCAGGCTGAAGTGTATTCAGCCCTGGGTAAGTCCCTCGGTGGGACTGCTGGGGGGCGGGAGGGGAGACCCAGGGCTCCTGTACCCTCCCAGCACTGCCTTGCTCCCTCACATCCCCATAAACACAACCTGTTATCAAACTTTTGGAACCTTATTAATCTAGTAAGTATGCAACGTAGTCTCTCCTCCCTGCCCCCCAGGCCTCTCTCTCTTGGTACAGTGCAGTTTTCATCTGCATCACTCTACAGACAGTGCCTAAGCTCCACAAGAGCTCATTTCTGCCCTTTGCCCTATTTCCTATGACCTGCGCCACTTACAGGAATTTAACATATATTAACTGAATAACTGGGTAGTTATGAGGAAAAGCTTTTCACAATTGCATAAAACATTTCTACTTCCTTTTCAGGAACTACACATGCAAATCCTTTACCCTTCCGTGTTTTGCTGGTCTTCTACTTATCAGTGTGTGGGTTCTTTATATATGAAGGGGATTAGCTCTTTATGGGTAACATGAGTAGCAAATTCTTTTCCCCAAGAATGAATTTATCAAAAGTTTTTCCACTTGTAACACCAACCTTGCCCCATCCAGACACAGCTTTAGGTAGTTTTAAATGGCTTATTCACTTACATACTTAAGAAAAAGCTAGAAAGAGGGAGGCTCCCTGGTGGCCAAATGAGTTAAGACGCAGCACTTTGAAGCTATCCGCAGCCACTGCAGCACAAGTTCGATCCCCAGCCAAGGAGGTGACCCACATGGCACAGCAGACCTCTTTTGACTTGCCAGGTGTGCCCCTCAGCAGCCTATTTCAGTAGATCTGCCTGTTCTGCTCCCCACTATGTCTCTGGTTAATCCTCTCACCACCACCACCCCCCCCCAACATCTCTGGCCTGCCCCCCAGCTCTTGTATGCATAAATAATTAAAAAAAAAAAAAATGCTAGAAAGAAATACCTACCTCATAGCCATACTGGAGAACAGAAGAAGCCAGGCACGCCCCCAGTATGTTGCCCACTGAAGCACAGGCACTCCACAGGCCAAACACAACTCCTCGCCTACGATGGAGAACAGGGAAAGAGGTGACACCAGAGTCAGGAGGGCACCTGCGCAGGTCACCACTCTAAACAGTGAGGGGCCACAGGACAAAGAACCCACATTCTATCTTAAGTATACCCGCATGATGCTAAGATTTTATCATTCTAAAGTTCAATTTGAGGCCCATCAAAAGACACTGTTATGAGAATTAAAAGATACATTGTGCAAAGATGAAAAAAGATGTAAGAATTATATAAAATAAAATATTTAAATATTTAAAAAAAGAGAATTAAAAGAAGACAAAGTCTCACTTTGGGAGATAACATGTGCATATGAGTTCCCCAAGAGAAGACTTGTCTCTGTTGAAAGAGACAAGAACTCTTACAACTCAACAATACAGAAATAGATGATGCAGGGCCTCCCCGGTGGCGCAGCAGTTGAGCGCCGGGTTGCGAAGCTGCCCGCAGCCTCTGCAGCGCCGGTTCAATCCCTGGCTGCTCCCCGGCCACAGGAGGTGGGTCCCCCATGGCGTGCAGACCTCTCCTGCCGCCCGCTGCTCCCCTCAGCAGTGTACTTCGGTCCTTCTGCCTGCTCTGCTCCCCGCTCCGGCTCTGGTGAATTCTCTCACCCTCCCGCGCTTCTGACTATACCCAGTGCTTGTATAAATAAATAAATAAAAATAAATCTTTAAAAAAGAAAAAAAGAAAAGAAAATTGAAAAAAAAAGAAATAGATGATGCAAAGAAAAGCATGATCTTCTCAAAACAAAAAGACTTTGAAAGGGGGCAAAAGATTTTAATATATATCACCAAAACAAAATAACTGATGCCGATAAGCACGTAAAAAGAGGCTCGACATCATCAGGCAGCAGGAAAATGCAATGAGGTATCCCTTGTGCAGCCACTAGAAGAGCACACATCACAAAAGACCATACCTACCAAGTGTGGGCAAAGATATTCTGCAGCTAGGACCCTTAACACTTTGCTGGCGGGAATGATAAAACCAGTTTGGAAGAAACTGCCCATTTCTTTAAAAGATAAATAACCAGGGCCTCCCTGGTGGCGCAAGGGGTTAAGCACAGCACTATGAAGCGATCCACAGCCTCTGGGCTGTGTTCAATGCCCAGCCCGCCAGGGAGCTACCCACATGGCACAGAAGACCTCTCTTGACTCACCCACTGCTCCCCTCAGCAGTGTATTTCAATCAGTCTGCCTGTTCTGTTCCCCGCTCTGTCTCTGGTGAATCCTCTCACTCCCTGCACCTCTGGCCTGTACCCCAGTTCTTGTATGCATAAATAAATCTTTAAAAAAAAAAAAGATGCATGACCATCTCCCATATGACCAGCAATTACACTGGGGAAATGAAAACACATGTCCATCTAAGGATGTTCACAGCAGCTTCATGTGTAACAGCCCAAACTAAAACTACCCAAATGTTAACCAAGAGGTGAGCAAATAATGGGTAACATCATGGACTATGACTCAGCCATAAAAAGAAAGAAACACATACGACATTGAATGGATCTCAACACAATGATGCTGAATGGAAGATGAGGAACAGTCTCCACTGTATGATTCCATTTATATAAAATTTTAGAAAATTCAAATGAATCTCAAGTGACAGAGAGGACATAAGTAGTTGCCTGGAGACGGCAGGGGGCGGGGGGAGGGAAGAATCACGGAGAGGCAGGAGGGAACTTTTGGGGGAGCTGGATCTGCTACTCTCTTGCTTGTGATGATGGTTCTATGCATGCTAAAGCGCATCAATCTGTACATTGTAAAGATGTGCAGCGTTTTGTATATTTTAATAAAGCTGTTAAAAATGAACGGGCAGACGAACAGTCTGATGGAGGGGAAACTATTATAACAGTCTTGTGGAAAAGTGATCAGCTCTGAACAAAGACAACGCCAGTAAAGCTGGTGAAAGTAAAAAGGCCTCCCTGGTGGCCTAAGGGCTAATTCTCAGCTCTGTCATCACTAAGGCCTGAGTTCGTTCCCCGTCTAGGGAGCTGATCCACATATGGCACAGCAGACCTCTCCTCTCTTACCTGCTGCTCCCCTTAGTAGTACTTCAGTAAATCTGCCTGTTCTACTCCCCACCCTGTCTCTGGTGAATCCTCTGACCCCCCCTCTTCCCACCGCACCGCTGGCCTGTACTCTAGTCTTCTATGCAAAATAAAAACATTTTTAAAAAATTGTCTAGAAGAGCTAATGTTTTAATATTCAAACGTGTATTTTTTCACTATTTGATACATATGGGTAACATATTGATAGGCCTAGACTTTTGAGCTCTTTAGAAGAGTTATCCTCACTGAGTCCGGGAGTCTTGGAAATCAACAGAGACAACACAGTCCAGAGGCAAAGAGCCTGTCACAATCCTGGCTTTTCCAGCTGTCACACACAATGATGAACAGCAAAGCCAAGTCTTATTTTCCATCCTTAGAGGCCTAGAAGATACTTTAGCAGCTGCCTAGCCTCATACCTTGGCCCACATCACCCCTACAAACTCAATCTGCTAAGTCCTAGAAGGTGTAGGAGACCAACTGAACTAAGCCCAAAGCTAGGTGTTCTTCATGCGCATCTCACTAGAGCCTTCGAGTGACCTTAGGTAAATCACACAGGTAACCAACCAAAGTGGCCTTATTTTTAATGAAAGAAGGTTAAGCTAGATCACTGAGTCTCAGAAAAAAGAATTAATGCAAAACCCACTGCCGATACAGAATGGGGGGGGGCAGGGGGGCATGAGAGCTATCTGTGTTCTTTAAAGGGATATTTAGAGACCTGAGATGTGCCGCCTGAGCCATAAGCAGCGCCTGACCAAGGCCGGGGCAGGTTCTGAACATGTCTGCCCGGGCGCCATCAGCTCCAAGGGCCACATCACTGTTGACAGACTTTGAAATCTCTCCCGAGCTATTCTGACTTTCTAAAATAGAGGGAAGGAACGGGCAATGTCAAAGGGACTAGTCCATCGACTATAAGTCGATGAACGCCCCGACATTAACGCCCTGTAGACACAGATATTAAGGAGGAAGAGGTGGCATACCCAGCTTTCCCAAACCAGTTGCCCATGACCGCAACCACACAGGGCCAGCCAGTGGACTGCAGCAGGCCATTCACGATCCACAGGCAACAGTACAGCCCCTTGTTGTAGAAGCGCAGCCACTCTGTTAGCGTGCCAAAGACAAACACCTTGGAGAAGGGGAGAGAAAGGAACATGTAACATCCACATGGACACTTGGGGGACACAACTGTCAACAACTTATGCTTCTGTGAGAACTTTCCCACATCTGGGGCCTAAGCGATGCCTGGCGGCTCCCCAGATACTCCTGCCCAGCGCGGCTCAAGGGAGACAGGGTCTGAATGCCACCGACTGAAGGGGCCAAGGTGTCCAAGGATCGTCCCTCCAACTCGCATCTTCAACCCTGAAGAGCGAAGGCCTCACTGTTTCCGTCCTCTCCCTCAGGGCTGTGTTTGAGGAGGGCTGACAGTGTGTGGAGGCGAATACAATAATGACAGGAGGCAAATGCAGGGATGACAGCACCAGGCACATGCTGGGGCCGGGGGACCAGCCTTCTGCTGTGGCTACCAAGCAAGTCAGGCTAACTTGGGAGCGGCTCGGTAATTCAGCAGCGTTCATCACACGACTGCTTATTTCTAGGCATTTTGCACACGTGAACATCTTATTTATAGTTGAAGCCTCTTTAGGGGACACTTGGCAGGGGTTAAAAAATGACATCTATAATAAATACTGGATGATTCCTGCTACAATACATTCTAGAACAAACAAAACTATGAGGACAGAAACATGGTCAGTGGTTGCCAGAGGCTAGAGGAAGAGCAAGAAGCAGGGTCATACAAACATGTCACTGGTCAAAACTCAAAAGTTTCCATGAGGGACATACTTCAATTTTCCAAAAAATATGAAAGAACGAAGCAAAAATGTACATGGGTTTGAAAATAGCAGGCATCTATGTGTGGTGAGCGGCCTGTGGACAAATGAAGTACCTCAAATCTCTAAAATTTCAAAGAAGAGCAGGTTTTTCCCTATGGGCAAGTGGCAGGCATTGGAAAAACAATAAAAGAGAGCCCAACTAAACGGTAGGCTTTCAATCAACCAAAGTTCCTGGCTGGAAGCAAATAAAGGTCAATCAACATTGACAGTTGACAGAGCACTTAACGCCCTGGCACTGTTCCCGACGCCTCGCACAGTTACTCAGAGACCCCTTTCTGCACTCTAGGAGGCGAATCCAAATGAGGGAGAGAAGCACCGAGAAATCATCAGCCAGGAAACCACAGAAGCAGGGACAGTGTCGGGAGCACGGGATCTCAGCCTCCACGCTGCACGCTGAGGGAAGCGGCACTGACATAGAATAAGCAGCCAAGCAGCAGGCCACGCAAGAGCCATCAGAGCAACTAGAGCTGAGAGGGGACAGGGACTTCGGGAGCGGGGTAAGTAGAGCAAGGCAGCAGGGAGACGACGTCAGGGAGCACCATTCAAGGCGGGAAGAACAGCAGGGCCCGGGGAGGCAGAAAGGAGCAGGAAAATGGCGGAGTTTGGCAAGAGCCACCCTGGCACAAAGGGAGAGACCCGACTGGACGGGCGGCTGGGAGCAGGTCTAGAGAACACAGAACACTGTGCTGTGTGTGCCTGGCTCTGAGAGTCGCGGAAGGGGCATGATCTGGGCTGTACTTTAAACAGACCCATAAGGCACACAAGAGATAAGAAAACCAAAGGTTAATTTTACTATTAGCATCTACATGAGAAGTAGGTGGTTACCTGGATTCTGGAATACCTGACTCTGGAAAAATAGCAAGAGTGATAATCGTAAGAACGACAGTGAGGACGGCGGTGACCCCTTTCCAACTTACCACTAACGCAGAAGAACACATGCCGAAGGACAGGACCCATCGTAAGTTAAGCCGGTCCCCAACGATGCCGCTGATGAAAAGACCCTGAAAGAAAGCTGATTTTACAACTCCGAGGAACAACACAGCCCGAACACTGAGAGCACTCAGAGAGAATGCGGGGTCTCGGGCCTGGAGAGCCTCACTCTATGTCAGTTTCACCAACATTTCAGGAAAGGAAGCGGCTCCGGCACTGGAACCACTCGGGCCGCCAGACACCCTGGTGCAGTGCAAACTTTGGATCCACCCGATCCCCTAACTGCCTGAAAGGAGACTGGAAAAAAAAAAAAAGAAGAAGAATTCTGTGCTTGGTGTGATGAGGTCACATTCTGAAGAGGTGTGAGGCTATACAGGGTAGAAAACTAACTTTATTTCGATTAAAAAAAAAATTCCTGGGCCTCCCCTGGTGGTGCAGTGGTTGAGTGCTGGGTTGCGAGGCTGCCCACAGCCTCTGCAGCGCCAGTTCCATCCCGGGCCACCGGCTAGGGTCCCACCAAAAAAAAAAAAAAAAAAATTCCTAATAAACAAGCACATGAACATATTTCATTTTCTAGAGCAGACCCAGTCCCGAGCAGCAGTGGTCTGCTCTCCGGCCACGTGCGTTCTGAACGGAGATGTGTCACTACGAGTCCTCGGAACAGAAGCCGCTGGGCACACGGGCTGCCCACTGGGTCTGGCCCCAGGGTTTCAGCACAGCTCGGGGCAGGGAGGGTAGGGAGCAGAGGCAGTAATTAGCTGAAGAGCTGCCTCTGCTCCCCCCACCACCAAGCAGCAGAAGCCAAAACCTGAAGTCACGGCAACAGGCTGACTGACTTAGGTTTCTTCCATAAACACAGCAAGTCCATCAACACTGTGATTGGAAACCTAAACTCAGGTACAAGTATGTCTAATAAACTGACTGTATCTGTCTCAGAAAATCTAGATGCCCTAAGGCATTTATTATGACAATGTAGAAATCTACTCTTGTGCTCACAGGTCGCTTGTTATCCACAAGCTCTCGCTACCCTCAAAGAGGCACCTATAAGCACCAGAGCAGATTCTCCATCCCACAGCTGCCACTCACCACCTTAAGCTATATGGGGGGCGGGGGGGAACCTCTTAATAAGGTTTCATACTGGGGAGTCAGTTTGTTCTGTATGGCTCCAAATGCCTGGAAGTTCCAGAGGGAAACACAGCTCACTATCTGACTTACCATGGCTCTTATTTACTCTGAAGCTACTGAGTCCTGCAGATAGGTATGATCATAACAGGCTACATTCCTTTTCGAAACCAAGCTGAACATAGCTAGTGGATGGTGGCAGAGCTGCCCTGCCCAGGGGCTTTACAGCTTCATAAATTATTCTATAAAAAGCTCAAAGAGAAGCACCCGTGGGAGAGTGCCAGCCAAGCCGAATGACACCAACCCAAGCCCCACCCCAGGATGAGGTACAGAGGTGTTAGGCCAGATGATCTAAGACTGGCCCCAACCGTTTCTACAAACGTCCTCTTGGAAGGAAGGGCATCCTAATAGGCAAACATTTAGAGTTCACCCAGCATTTCACATCACCGGCACCATTCACAATCAAGAGGCTTTCCTGATAGCTGGGTCCATCTGAAACAGGGGACACTGGGTGCAAGGAGGGAAGGTCAGCCTGTCCCACAGGGCACGGGCTCAGCCGCGGCTCCCGAGGCCGCCGCTCTGACTTGGCAGCCACCACAGATGCTCCTCCAGCCAGCCCGACCCGAGCTGCCCAATCAAAGATGGCCTCAGACAGACCAGCCCCAACTACCCTGGGGCTCCAGGCCACCCCTCTCATTCTTCTCCAACTTCCTCACTGCTCCATCTCTACCTCCCTGCCACGCCTCATCTCCCCACCTCAAACCACTCAGAGTCACCCTCCTTGTCTATCCTCACCTAATCCCCTCACATTTCATCCAGCCTCATCATTTTAAGTATTACCTATACATGAAGGACTCAGAAACTCCACCTCCAGCCTGCACCCCAGACTCATGTGACCACATGTCTACTCTCCATCACTTGGACAATAGGCACCTGCATGTAACGTGCCCGAGCGCAGGTGCTCAGTAAGCAACTGCTGAGTGAGATGGATGAATGGATGGATAGATGGATGGATGGACGGATGGATGGAGTGAGTGGGTGGTGGGTGGGTAGAAAATTCACAAAATATAAACTACAGGAATACCCAACTCTCCTCAGTCAGCAAATTCAAAATCCCCTACAGTATTCATAAGGGTTAGTCATATCCTTTTATCTCTCTCCTCAATTTAAAATCCTAAATTTCAGGGCTTCCCTAGTGGCCAAGGTGTTAAGTCTCGGGGATATCACAGCTATGGCATGAGTTTGATCCCCAGCCAGGGAGCTGACCCACATGGCGCAGCAGACCTCTCCTGACTCGCCCACTGCTACCCTCAGCTGTATATTTCAGTGAATCTGCCTGTTCTGCTCCCCACTCTGTCTCTGGTGAGTTCTCTCACGCACATACCCCCACCTCTGGTTTACACCCCAGTTCTACACAAAAATAAAACTGAAAAAAAAAAACCCTAGATTTCTAAAACTTACCACGGCGTAGGAGCAGAGGAAAATGGTATCCAGCATTCCGAGAAAAAGCGTGGCTTCCGCTGCGCTGGGGAACAAGTGGTTGCGGCTCCAGATCTACAGCGGAGACAAGAACAAGTCAGCTTCCTAGGCCTCCCAGGGCTCCTGTTTCTCAAAGTACCTTCTTGGCCAAGCCCTGCCCACCCTCCCGGAACCCTGGTGATGGTGAAAAGAGCACATCAGTTTGCCACAGATCAGAAAACACACACAACATACAGGAACTTCACAAGGTCAAACACAATGTGCTACTGGAATGGCACCTGCTTTCTCCCTTTACTTCTTGGTGGACTGTGCAAAAGCCACAGCAGGGAGAGAACTCCACACCTCCTGTGTGAACCCAGACCATCACGCTAAACTCTGATCGTGATCACGATGGCCTTTATCACCACCACTCATACAAAAATCTTTTGTAAAAAAGTCCACATCAGGGCCTCCCCGGTGGTGCAGCAGTTGAGTGCTGGGTTGCGAAGCTGCCCACAGCCTCTGCAGCGCCGGTTCGATCCCCGGCCGTCAGTGAGGGTCCCACATGGCGTGCTGACCTCTCCTGCTGCGCCCGCTGCTCCCCTCAGCAGTGTATTTCATCCGTCTGCCTGTTCTGTTCCCCACTCTGGCTCTGCTGAATTCTCTCACCCTCCCTCGCTTCTGACTGTACCCAGTGCTTGTATAAATAAATAAATAAATCTTAAAAAAAAAGAAAAAGTCCACATCACTGGGCTTTTTTTTTTTAAGATTTATTTTATTTATTTACACATACAAGAGCTGGGGTGTAGGCCAGAAGTGTGGGGAGGGGAGGGGTGAGAGGATTCACCAGAGACAGAGTGGGGAGCAGAACAGGCAGAACTACTGAAATACACTACTGAGGGGAGCAGCAGGCCGGGGATCAAACTCATGCTGCAGTGGATAGCTTCATAGTGCTGAGACTTAACCCCTTGCGCCAGCAGGGAGGCCCTCACTTGTGTTTTTTTCAAGACTGTTCCCAAGGAAGCAGTACAGATTATTAATTGCATTAAATCTAGCCCAAGCAGAGTTATTTTTTTAATACGCTGTGGGTTGGAGTCACAGGCGAGCACACAGCGCACCAACAAGCACTGTGCCACTGTGGGCGTCACCAGCAGGGAAGCCATTTTTCCTTGAAAGAATGACTGACAAGTGATAGTTATTCAGATTTAGGTATTTGGTAGATATTTCCTCAAACAAGAATGACATGAGCCTGTCACTTCAACATCCATTCGAAGTACAAGATAGACAAATGGCTCTTAATGTCAGGGTGTAAAAAGTTAATTGATACATTTTCAGATTCCACATTGCAACTAACCTTTAAGAAATTGCCACTTGTCAAATTCTGGTGTGATAGCAAAGATGAATATCCATGATTAATGGAAAGGGTACTTAAAATACTTCTCCCTTTCCTATTATGTACCTGTGAAAAGCCAAATTCTCTTCCTATACTTCAAAGAATCACTGGCAGGAAACTGCATCTAAGCAGACTTGAACAGCCATTGCCTTCTAGTAAGTCAGACACGAGGAATGTGCAAAAAATGCTAATTGATGCCATTTTCTTAGGAGGTGATTTTTGTTTTATTTTGAAAAACTCATTTTTCATAAAATGTTATTTATGCTACCTGCTAGGAGCTTACTTGACTCATTTAAAAATAACTTTGAAAAACATATAACCTGGTTTTAGGGAGGCGGGTGGGGTGAGAAAAACCCACATAACCAAAAGCTCTTTTGAGTAGTCAGGCCACAAAATTAGCAAAGTACTGGACCAAACTATTTCGGAGACGGGTTGTTTTAACAAAGACAATTTGATATTATAATATTAAAGAGAAAAAGCACAATCAGCAATTTAAAAGATCTTTTCCAGAAAGTAAAACCTTCGGGCCTCCCAGGTGGCGCAGGGGTTAAAGACAGCGTTATCAAGTGACTGCCAGCCAGTGCAGCACAAGTTCAATCCCTGGACAGCCAGGGAGCTATGCACATGGCACAGCAGACCTCTCCTGACTCACCCGCTGCCCCCCTCAGCAGTGTATTTCAGAAGATCTGCCTGTTCTGCTCCCCACTCTCTCCGGTGAATCCTCTCACCCTCCACACCTCTGGCTTACGCCCCAGTTCTTGTATGTATAAATAAATACATCTTTTAAAAAATAAAGAAAGAAGGCAAAACCTTAAAATTATAATAAAATACAAAGCGTGATTCTAGAGTCTTGGAACTTGTTTCTGTGACACTTATGCAACATTTTATCCCTGATCCCCCAGGCTCATGAGCACCGGGGTAAGCCCCACTGGGTGCACACCGTCATGGGCTTGAAACAGGGGGCCCAGCACCTCTCCAAGTCTCAGGGGTCTCTTGGCTCTCTAGAGAGATCACCAAAACTCCCTGCTGGGGTGGCCTTCCCAGCTACTGACAAATTCTAAAGCTTTTTTCAGCTTCACTGCCAGAATTCAGCTGAAATATACTTTGCCTACTTAACAAGTGGAAAGCAAAACAAAACCAAAAGCTAAAAGAACAAAGCAGACCAATGAGAAGAGTCAGCAAATCGGATAACAAAAAAAAAGAACATTTACTTCACTGATACAGATCAAGATGACTTAACTAGCGGCTAAGAAAGGACCCAGTGTACATGGTGAACCAGCCATGTTTATTCAAAGTCACAGAGACTAGAATATGCTCCCATCCACACGCTGCAGTTGTTCAAGCTGCTCTGTGTGTGTGTGTGTGTGTGTGTGTGTCAAGTGAACACACAATGCTTAGGAGTGTGAGGTTTGCTGTGTTGGGCAGGTGGGGGCGGGGGGCAATTGTAACCGCCTGTGCTAAGGCACTTCCCAGAAGCATAAAACTGCTCAGTTGAAAGGTCACGGTGTGGGTTTCCTAAGTGAGGTTTGTAAGAGAGTAAGGGCGATGCCTGGGGGTGAGGGAGCTACTGACACAGATGAGCTTCCTGGGTGGTGAGCAGTGACGAGCTAGAGCTACTTTACGACGGGGCCTTTCATGGCCTACAGTGAGTGCTAGCAGGTTGGTGAGAGCAGCTGTGCATAAGGTTGAGGTGGAACACTGAGGACACCCCCTCATCCTAGAGAGCTTCAGACTCACTCTTCCCAGCTGTCCTGACTGGAGAGGTGAGGCTTCTTCATTGAAGAGAACAAATTTTGTTCATAATTGTCAGCCAAGTTGTTCTCAAATGTTAGATTTAACCACTGCAGGTTTCCCCCACTATGTGAAAGTAAATGGCTCCTATTCGGAATGATATGGCAGGTTATTGTGGGGCTGCAGGAGTGATATTAATGAACTTCTATGGGAGAAAAAAATTAAGGGACCGCAGGTCCAAAAATTAACCTAGAAATCACATGAAATGGGAAGTCTACTATTAGATAGTGGGGATACTTGTACCTCTTTATTACCTATAAACATAGATTTCATGTCACGGTCACTTACTATTGTCATTGTTTGCGTCAGTGAAATCCATTACAAATCCTCAAGGTACAGAGACTGTCTCCTTGAATTCTTTCTGTAAAGCACTAAGATAGCTATGCAAAAAATGAAAGCTGCAGTAAGTACATCCTGAGAATGCTATTTAGGGGATTTAAGAAATGTTGCAGAACGTATGTAAACAAAATATTTTTTAAGAGTTCAGACTAATCTTAACTATATTTCTAGTTCTAATAAATCCCTTCTACTTTGGGTAAGAGACATCTCAAAGGGAAGTTGGAGTTGAGGCCATCACAGACCCCAAAGCCAGGAGGAGTGAAAGGGACAGATGACCTGCCCAATCCACTCCCAGCAGCAGGCCTGGGCAAGGAAAAATCCTGAACTTTCCAATCGAAAGAAAGGGATGGAAAGTCAGCACTGCTCTCCAGGATGCACTGGTCAAGACTGTCTGAAACCTAGTCTTCTATCTTCATCTTTCCTTTCAAAAGTTCCAGCTAACCTAAACTCCAGAAGTGTGCAGGAGCATCTCCCCTGGAATATATGCCCCATGAGGACAGAGTCTTTTTTTGGTATCATCAGTGCTGAGAACAGTGTTTATGCAAGACACACTTTCTTTTTTAAAGATTTATTTATTTATACAAGAACCAGGGTATAAGCCAGACGTGTGGGAAGAACCAGGGTATAGGCCAGACATGTGGGAGGGTGAGAGGATTCATCAGAGACAGAGAGGGGAACAGAACAGGCAGACTGACGAAATACACTGCTGAGGGGAGCAGCGGGCAGGACAGGAGAGGTCTGGCGCGCCATGTGGGATCCTCGCCGGCCAGCTGGGATTGAACCCGTGCTGCAGAGGCTGCAGACGGCTTCACAGTGTGGCGCTCAACCACCTGCGCCACCAAGGAGGCCCAAGACAGACTTTCAATAAGTTACCACTACGTCACTTCTTTCAAGTGGGAGGAGGCTATTCATATAACCTTCAAGTCTCTGTCCACTTTGGCTCGAATAGGGAAAATAATGTTTAAGAACTAAAGCATGCTAAGAATATCAACAGAGATCTACAATTCCACTTGAGCAGGACTTAAGTATTGCGGCACAGATGGAGAAGAATGGAGTTGTATTTGGAGACAGGTACTGAAGGGAAAAACATCTCTGTCCCAAATAGTCAGGGAAGAACTGACTTGGCCCCCCATGGATCAGGGAACTCGGTGAAAGCTCTTAACTTCAAGCTGTTCAGCAAGATACAAACAGATCAAATAGATGGAAAGTATATGAATGTGGTGCCATTAGACTATATAACACACGGCATGCGCAGTTCACAGACAGAAAATCAGCAGAAGCTGGAGAAAAACTTGATAGAAAAAGCGGCGCTTTATCTTACTTAACACAAAGGCAAAGGCAACATGTGGTAGGCAGAGAGAAGGTGAAGAGTCTACCAGAGAAAATGAGCAAAATCTCCAAGACAGAAAAGAGCAGGTGCTTTTGTGACACCATGAAAAAATGGCTTAGCCAGAACTGTGTGATGTCCAGACAGTAAGCAGAAAGCTGGTCGGAATGGACAAACAGCCCTGATGAGGACAAGTGTTGAAATCAAGCAGAACAGTTTAGAATTTATGCCAAAGAAAACAGTAAGTCATTTCAGTCCTAAGTGGACAAATGAAACAAAAAGAACTTGAGAAGAACTTAGATGGGCTGGGTGCCCTTCCCGACCCCGGCCGGCACTCCGCTTTGCTTACCTCGGCGGGCAACTCGATGGACTTGTTCCAAGCACTAGGTGTCCACTGCTTGGAGATACTGACTTTGACATTGCTGAATGTTTTTCTCGACGCGTGGAGCAAGGAGTAACTATGAAATAGACAAAAGTCAGCCGAATGGACAGCAAGGAAAAAGGCACTCAATAAAATCAGGTATGTACCACTTGTCTGACTGAACTTTAGAACTCTTCTCTTGAAGAAAAGGAAAAGCATGACTTTAAAGAACCAGCAATTGAAACAGACTCTACTAAGCAAAAGTTAAACACAATCAGTCCTCTTCACCATGAGTTCACTCAGAACTGATCCTTGTACCAAGAAGATGGGGGTGGGACTAGACCCAACCAACTCTGACGTAACTGGAGAACTGTCTTCTCAGTTTCCATTTTAAGAAAACATCCAATAGTGGTCCTTTCAACAAAAGTTAATAATAAATCAACATAGAAGAAATCATCATAAGAGCTGAATCATTAGGTTGTGAACTGCATGTCCCTCATACCGAACAATCTGGCTTCTGTCATCTATAGGCCACTAAAGAAAGCCACTGACGCCAAAGGGTCATGACCGGGGGCTATTTCTTCAGTGGTGCGAAGCAGGAGGGGCCGTAAGACTCCAGGATTCCTCTCATTGTCTCACCTTCCTCTGGTGCTTACGGAGGCCCAGGGCATTCCCTGTACAAGCACCTCATTTGTCCTCAAGCTCTAGGTTATTTTTTTTCTTTAAAGATTTATTTTAATTATTTATGCATACAAGAACTGGGGTGTAGGCCAGAGATGCGGGGGGTGAGAGGATCCACCAGAGACAGAGTGGGAAACAGAACAGGCAGACCGACTGAAGACACTGCTGAGGGGAGCAGCAGGCGAGACAGGAGAGGTCTGCTGCGCCATGTGGGCAGCTCCCTGGCTGGGGATCGAACTTATGCTGCAGAGGCTGCGGATAGCTTCATAGTGCTGAGATTTAACCCCTTGCACCACCAGAGAGGCCCAAGCTCAAGGTTTTAACTGACGAAGGACTTTATGTTCGATCAGGCATTCTAAACGATGGCCCTGACATTTTAGAACCCCAAACGCTTTGCCGTGGTGGGCTGCTGTGTGGTGTAGGGTGTTCAGCAGCATCCTCACCCCTACTCGTCAGAGGCAGTGGCAGTGCTTCCCTGTGCAACAACAGACGTGTCTCCAGGCACTACCAGCTATGGGCAGAGCAGCCCTGGGAACCACAGCACTGGCTCCAGAAAGTACAGGAGTAAACCAGTCTGTTTCGCGATAAGCCCCTGCCCATCACCGCATTACACACACGCCTCGCAACAGCTTCCTCGGTGAGGAAAGCAGCAAGAGATCACCGACCTGAAGAAGGTGAGCAGGAACACGACGACATGGTGATGGCTGAACCGCGAGAACAGAGTTCCTCCCTGGAAAATACTGGGCCAGGCCATGTTCTTCCTGAAGTTCCTTCTGCCTTTGACCTTGAAGCTAGGATAGTCAATGATTTACGTCATTTCTTCCTTCTGGAAAGACAAATACATCATTACCATTACTCGATATAGGCAGTTTATCCCAATGCTGAATTATTTAGATTTATAACCAGTCAGCATATAAACAGGCTTGGGGGGAAAAAATTCACCAAGGCTAGCTGACACCAGAAAACTCGAATGGTGATTATGTTTTATAGCTAGTCCTTTTTTAAAAACCCTTGAAAATTACATCCTGAGAGAAAGAACTCTCATACAAACTGACTGAAAAACCACTAGTTTTGACAGAAAAATGAGTAAAGGAAATGAATAGACAACTCAGCAGAAGTGAAATGGCTATTAAACTTATCAAATAAAAGTTTCACTCTCACAGGCCTCCCCGGTGGCGCAGCGGTTGAGCGCTGGGTTGTGAAGCTGCCCACAGCCTCTGCAGCACCCGGTTCGATCCCCGGCTGCTCCCCGGCCACTGGGCAAGGGTCCCACATGGCGCGCAGACCGCTCCTGCCGCCCGCTGCTCCCCTCAGCAGTGTACTTCGGTCCTTCTGCCTGCTCTGCTCCCCGCTCTGGCTCTGGTGAATTCTCTCACCCTCCCGCGCTTCTGACTGTACCCAGTGCTTGTATAAATAAATAAATAAATCTTTAAAAAAAAAAAAGTTTCACTCTCACTAATAATACAAGAAATGCTAATGATGGCAAGAAAATGTTTGCATAGCTCAAAAAAGCCTCAAGTTCAAGGCAACTTGAAGTGTGAAGACTCCAGAACTCTTCTCTGCTGCTGCCAGAAGTGAGTATCAGTACAGTGTTACAGGAAGACACCTGGCTGTGTTCACCAAGAAACTCAGACAAAAAAATTCAATTTTCAGGGACCCATTCCTAAAGAAATACAAGGCGCATTCAGGTCTATGAACAAAGTAGTTCCTCACAAAGTGTCCAGGGAGCTTTTTCAGAAGGGGAGAGGATTACGCCCACCCCCCCAGACCCGCTTCCCACTACTTCTCTTACCGCTCCTCATAGTAACAGCAGCTGCCATGCTCTGATATCCCAGAGTAATTAAATATAAAGTAAGCATCTAAGTGTAATATCTCCAGCTATGAGTCTATAGAAACAGCCTAAACATGGCTGAATCCTATGAATTAAGGCTGTTTAATAACACGAGAAAATATCAAGTGAAGAAAGTGGGACAAATAAAAAGGAAACAGACTAGTTCTTTCTCTAGGTAAAAGGATTATAGGTAATCTTAATTTCCTATGTTTCCTAAAAATTCTACAATAAACACGTATAAACTTTTTATTATCAGGAGGCAAAATGTCCACAGCATTGAAAAATTCCTGTAATTTGTCTGCATTTTAGAGAAAAAATTTAATTGAAGTGACAAAATAACTTGCATGACGAACATACTACTGTAGTCAAGGAAGAGACAAACTCTAGAGCCCCTAGTGGTAAGACTGGTGAAGTACAGGGCCCAACTAACCCGTCACTGCTGGAATTCTACTTGTTTTCACTGGCCGTAACTCAGATTAACCAAGCCATAAGGGCAGGCCCAGCTAAAAGGCCATTTGTGAAAACTTTCGGATAAAAGGAACAGTAAGGGAGACAGTTTCAAATGTCTATTAACATTACAGCTGTTTCACTGGCTGTGAAAGCTTGACTCACCTCTGTGACTCAGTCATCTGTAAAAAAGCTTACCTCACCTCAGAGTTGTGAGAATAAGGTAAATGGTGTATGGAAGGTACTACGGTCATTGTTTTAGACACTGATCTGTCCGGGATGAATAACATCAGTAGAATGTAGCTAATTTCATTCAATTATTCTCCCTACAGAATGTTAGCAAAGGGCCTCCCTGGTGGTGCAAGGGGTTAAGCACCACACTATGAAGCAATCCGCAGTCTCTGCAGCACGAGTTCGATCCCCAGCTGGCCAGGGAGCTACCCACATGGCGCAGCAGACCTCTCCTGTCTTGCCCGCTGCTCCCCTCAGCAGTGTATTTCAGTGGATCCGCCTGCTCTGCTCCCCACTCTGTCTCTGGTGAATCCTCTCACCCCACACCTCTGGCCTACATCCCAGCTCTTGTATGCATAAATAAATAAAAATAAATCTTTTAAAAATATAAATAAAATAAAAAATAAATAAACTCCCATTCATATGCAGCCCACACTCAGCCTATTACTCAGTCCTTATTAGCCTCAAAGAACCTCCCAAATCCATCCAGAATGTAAGTAACCTTTCTTAGTTCCAGGAAGTTAAAAACCAGAGAACTATTAATGCTACGTTGACCTCCATCCCCAAAATTAAACACAAAACTCCACTAGAACAGCTCCAAGCTCAAACCATTCTTTCTAAGCTCTTTGCAGTAAAGACATTCACACGACTGTACTGAGTGCTTCAGAAAGGGTATGGGTTACGAGATTCTCTAATTTATCAGGTAAGACAATAATTCCAGGCCTCCCTGGTGGTGCAAGAGTTAAGACGCAACCTATGAAGCAAGCCGCAGCCACTGCAGCACAAGTTCAATTCCTGGCCAGGGAGCAACCCACATGGCACAGCAGACCTCTCCTGCCTCGCCCGCTGCTCCCCTCCGCAGTGTATTTCAGTCGGTCTGCCTGTCTGTTCCCTACTCTGTCTCTAGTGAATCCTCTCACCCCCGACACCTCTGGCCTGTACCCCAGCTATTGTATACATAAATAAATAAATCTTTAATAAACAAAAAAGACAATAATTCCAACAATGTATTTTCCAAGAGACTGGGGTCTCACTGCCTCAGCTGTAGTAGCTGTGTTCGAGCCCAGTAGTTACAACAGTAGCTTTAAATGACTACCACACTGGGGTCATCTGGATCTAGTTTCTGAATAAACCACCTTTTCCTTAGCTACAGTGTAGGGGGCAGAAAAGGCTTAATAAGTACATTGGGAAAATAGTTTTAAACATTCACCTGCTGTTGGCAGAATGCCATTTTAAATGAATACCATTATAACATCTGATCCTATGTAATCATAGTAATTAATAATAATAATACCTTGCACTTACGCATCTCCTACATTCCAGAAGCAACTTCTAGTCTCAGTGAGTTCAGGGCCCCTGGGGAAGCACAGAGAGTTTTTGCCAAGTCTGAACCCATCAAGCACATCCTTCTTTCCCAAGACCATTTTCTTTACTGCTCTAAATATAGACTGAACAACGGCCTAACGTTTTTCAAATGTACGTAAATGCTGCTCTAAAGAAAACAAACTTCATGTGTTTCTGAATTCACAGCTTGTCATTTAATATTTTCTCAATCAATGGATACTGACTATACAATTATCACTTGAAAATGTGATTTTTTTTTAAAACAAAGTATGTATTTTCTGTGGCAGATGCTATATTATGATGCGGTCCTCTGCAAAAAAGATAAATTCTAAATGTTATTAATGTGCATGCATTTAGTACCATTTACATTTTGAAATGTTTCGTTTTTAAAAAAACTTATTAAAAGTAGGGCCTCCCCTGTAGCGCAGCGGTTGAGCGCTGGGCTACGAAGCTGCCTGCAGCCTCTGCAGTGCTGGTTCACTCCCCAGCTGCTGGCGAGGGTCCCACATGGCACGCAGACCTCTCCTGCCACGCCCACTGCTCCCCTCAGCAGTGTACTTCGTCAGTCTGCCTGTTCTGCTCTCCGCTCTGGCTCTGGTGAATTCTCTCACCCTCCCACGCTTCTGACTGTACCCAGTGCTTGTATAAATAAATAAATCTTTTTTTAAAAAAAAATTAAAAATAAAATCCTTGCCTTCAAAAAGGATTAGCACCCTGGAGCCTTGGCCTGCTTTTCAAACCAAGTTCACTAACTCCTCTGATTTGTCTTAAATCATCTGTACAAGGTTCTTTCCAGTTTGGAACATTCCATATTGAGATCAAGGCTGAATAAAAGATGGTGTCACATGAAACACGTCCAGGTAGCTGCTCCCCCTTATAAGAGACTGTCTTAGAATACAAAATATTCCAAAAATGTCATTTTCTATATATAGTAGCACCCATTCCGGACTAAATATAGAAGATGTAAAGTTACATTAGGAACACTTTGGAGGAGACTGAGTGCAAAGGGGAAACCTAGGAAGGACCATAGTTTCCGTGCCCATCCTGTGCCCGTCCCGCCACACCATGCCATCGACCCTCCATCTCCAACCGCTTCAGCCCTCTCCCTTCCAGACTGCTGACTTTCATGCTCCCCCATCGATGGTCCTCCTGCCTCAGCCTGGCTCACAATCGGTCACCTCACCATGGTCCCCGCGGCCTGTGACCATCCCCGTCCTGTTTCTTTCTCTACCAATTTACCAGCAATGCTCTCTCCCTTACCCCCCTTTTCTTCTCGCTCGGCCGGCCCCCGTTCCCTGCACCCAAGCAGCTGAGTTTTGCCAAAGAAAAAAATCACACAAGCTGCCAGTTTCACTTTAGATTCAAAACCACAAACCTCAATGGGTATGCAAGGCTGCCAGGCGTGTGCAACTTCCCCAATCATTCTGTTTCCTCAACCTCGAAGACCAGCATTTGACACTTCCCTGTCTTCCAACATCTCTCTCACCTCCTCCATCCGGGACCAGGACTTTCTCCGAGAGCTAAGGCTCCAGCTCAGTCCCGTGCGGCGCCCTGCAGTACAGCCCCCCCACCACGCCTCCCTCCAGTATCTGAAGGGTCTTCCTCTCCTCCCCCCACATCCTCTCCCTGGTGTCTCCACCTCAGCCAATGGCGCCACCAATTCTCAAAGTTGCCCGTGGGAACTAGCACCATCCCTGAGTTTCTCCCTTTCAACTTCCAAATCCAGCCCCTACTAAGTCCAGTCCTTATTAGCTCCAAAACACATCCCAATCCTTCGTCTCCTGCCACGGTCATCTCCACGATGAACTGCCCGCCTTCCGCCAACGCCAAGACAAGAGTCCCAGCTGGGTTTCGTATCTGCACATCCAGCCCACCCCAGGCTCGCTCTGAGCACACCAGCCAGAAATACATCTTAAGACATAAACCAGCTGTCACGCCTCTGCTCAGCACACTTTGATGGCTTCCCAAGATCCAGACCAAAGACACGACTCTTCCCACAGCCCTCAAAGCCTGCTGCCCCAGTGTCCTGGAGTTAAGTAGGAAGGCGAAGGGAGCAGTGGAGGTGACAGCTGGGGTTGTCAGGAGGCTAAAGAGGGGACTGCCTGCTGTGCTACCACCTGAAATGCCTTTCTCCTGGGTCTTTACAAATTGCTTGCTCTTTCCTTTTCCGAGCTTATCCTGGAGGGGGCTGTCCTGATAGCCCCGTCTAAAATGCAGTCTAGAATGCAGTCTAAAATGCAGTCCCTCAGCTACTACTGCTCTCATCTGTTTCTTCCCTACAGAGCATTTCCCCAATTGGATGAGCTGCTTTAACTGTTTACATGTTTATCGTTGATTTGTAAGTTCCACAGACGCAATGGCCTTTTATGTCACAAGTCCAGCACCAGGCAGAGCATTAAGAACAAGTCATAAGGGCCTCCCTGGTGGTGCAAGGAGCACCACCACTATGAAGCCATCCGCAGCCTCTGCAGCATGAGTTTGACCCCCGGCCCGCCAGGGAGCAACCCACATGGCACAGCAGACCTCTCCTGTCTCGCCCGCTGCTCCCCTCAGCAGTGTATTTCAGTCAGTTCTGAAATACCTGTTCTGTTCCCCACTCTGTCTCTGGTGAATCCTCTCACCCACCCCCCACCCCCACCCCGCCATCTCTGGCCTGTACCCCAGCTCTTGTCTGCATAAATAAATAAATCTTTAAAAAGAAAACAAACAAAAAAGAACAAGCGATAAGGATTTGGGGAATGAATAAATGAATGAATGAATGATCTGACTGATGGATGGTGGTCCTGAGTGCTTTCAAGATGCCAGGAACTGTGCTAGCACCTGCTCAGCGAGATCACCCGTTCTTCTCTCAGCATCAGACACTGGGGAAAACAGATTTCAGAAACCTGATTTAGAAATGAAGCAAACATTCAAACCCAGACCTCACCCTGCACCCTATGCTAGACTGTATAGGCGAAAAGTTAAAATATAGACTATCTCAAGCTGTACTCAGAATTATCCCACCTTAAACTTAGAGGTCTGAATCTAAGGTGGGAAAATACACAGTTGATTAATAACCACAGTTTTCTTATGCAAAAGACAAGGGCATTAGATAGGCAAAGACTTACTTCCCAGATCTCAGTTTTTACATTTGCAAAGTAAAAGGATTCTGTGCACTCAAAATATACTGAAGTGAGGGAAGTATTAACTGGATAGTTCTGGTCACCGACAGTTCTAGTACTGGGTATGCTGTAACTTACCACCCCAATGCTGACGCTTATACAAGTCTTTTTTATCCTACATTATCTCATCTGAAGTCATTTACCTGTACCACATAAATCCTCTTATTCAATACTAAAGCCTTCCTGCAATTTTCCTATCTTCTTAAATTGTTTCATTACCACATGTAAAATGCCTAGCACTTATCTGTAAAATGCTCTCATTAAGGGTTCCCAAAACCACATTCTTCCTAGCTATTCCAAGCACATTCCAAAGACAACTAGTTTTCAAGATTAAAATCTTTTCTATATTAAAGGACCTATCCTCAACTTAAGGGTCACTAATGTGACATTTCTTTATCACCAATGAACAGGGACAATTCAGAACCTGAAACAATGACTAATAATCTGCTCCTGACATGGAAAAAGCATTAAGACACACCACTGACTTTAACTGTATGAAAGTGTTGTTTCATGCTCATCTTCTGATGCAGAGACGGAAAAGTCAACACAGTACAGTAACAGAATGATGTTCTCTGAAGCCACCTGTGGCCCACAAAAAAAAGGCATTAAAGTTCCAGCTGGAATCCAAGACTCTCCACTTCTCTGAGCCTCAAAGTCCTCACTTAAGGATTAAATGAGATCACTTTCGGAGCGTTCTTAGCATAGTACCTTGCCAGGTAAGCATCAATTTCCCACAGTAAATAGCCAACAAATGGGAAAGAAATTTGGGCACCAAAACAGTGAAAAGGATAATCAGATTTTGCTTACCCCGGGAACACATTCTTCTCCCTACAAACATTTCAGTGAAAGCTGCGAGGAGATCGCCTACGGTCTTACAGTAAAAGAAACACCAAAACCCCTGGGGACACACTCCCTTTATCCCCTGTCAAAAATGAGTATAAACAGACCCCATTCGCCAAATGAAGGATGGAGAAGAAATCAGAACACATTGCTTCCCGAGACCACGGCAGTTACAAAACAATAAAACCCAGATGTTCCACTGAGACCCTTCTCCCTCCCTGGCCTCTGCACATCCTTTCCGAGCGCGTCCCCGCCCCACCTGCGCACGACCCTCCGCGGGGCTGAACTGCAAGGCCGGGTCTAGCGGGAGAGACCCCGCCGGGCGGGCGCGGGCCGGGCCGCGGCTCCCCGCCCTCCCCTCGCCGAGGGCCCGCCCGCCCCACCCCGGCCCCTCAGCCCCGGCCCTCGGCCCCGGCCCCTCAGCCCCAGCCCCGGCCCCGGCCCCTCAGCCCCACAGTCCCGGCCCCTCAGCCCCTCAGCCCCGGCCCCTCGGCCCCGGCCAGGACGCAGGCCCGGGCGCAGGGTGGGGGCGAGCAGCCCGCCGGCCGCCCCGGGAGCCCCGCCGACCCTCGCGAGCGGCGCCCCTCCTCCCGCCCCAAGCCGGACTCGACCCCTCGACGCTCGGGCCCCCGCCCCGCGCACCCGAGACCCGCAGGGATCGCCGGTCTCCGGCCGCCGCCGGGCTCGTCCGCTCGGCCCGCCCGGTCCGCTGCGCTCCGCTGCCCGCCGCCCCCGCCGCCAGCTCACCCCCCGCGCGGCGGCCAGGGCTTCCGGGCGCTCACGTGACCCGCCCTTCCCAGCGCATGCCGGGAGTTGTAGTCCGGCCGCGCGGCTTCACCTGCGGCCGCGGGGGTGCGGGGGGGGCGGGGGCGGGGCGGGGCGGGGCGGGCGCGGGGGGCGGGGCTGTTGCCAGCCGAGAGCGAACGCCTCCCAGAGCCCCGCTGCTGGGCTGGGGGAGCACCGGCCAGGTATGGTAGTTGGAAAAAGAGCGTGAGGGACAGATAAAACATAACCTGGGACAAATGCTGCAGAGAGCGTGTTGGGTTTTTTGGTTTTTTGTTGTTTTTTTTTTTTTTTTCAAAAAAGCTTTAATCCGCTCTTTATTTGTATAGAGAGAAGGTTCTAAGTGTGCTACCAGGGCGGGCATAAGGTCTAGGTTTTTGTCTAAGTTCATTGAACGCAGCTGCTATGCAGGCAAGATCAGTATCAATCACTTCTCTGCACCCCACCCCACCCCCCGAAAAATAAATGAATGTTAAGATCCTGGCTGCCTCAGGCAAAAATTAAAGGAGATACAGGGCTCCGTGCTCTTGCACTCTGTTTCAATTGTTGGGGAAATACAATGTTCAAAAAATATATAGTCCCAGCCCAGAGAAACCTCTCCACAAAGGAGGAAGAAGAAGAAGGAGAAGAAGGAGAAGGAGAAGGAGGAGAAGGAGGAGAAGGAGGAGAAGGAGGAGAAGGAGGAGAAGGAGAAGGAGAAGGAGAAGGAGAAGGAGAAGGAGAAGGAGAAGGAGAAGGAGAAGAAGAAAGAAGAAAGAAGAAACAGTTTTTTGCTGACTAAGCATTAAACCAGAATGTGGGGTGCATTAAAAGCAACTCGCTGAGAAATGTAGACAGAAAGGGATCTCCCCTTCTATAGCCTGGCACATGCAAGCCGAAGCCATTACTGGGCGTTTTCAACATAAGCAATCACTAGTTCTCAAATAAGAAGACTTGACCTTTTGTCCCACATAGTTCTTCCTTTTTTTTTTTTTTTAAGATTTATTTATGGGGCCTCCCCTGGTGGCGCAGCAGTTGAGCGCTGGGTTGCGAAGCTGCCCACAGCCTCTGCAGCACTGGTTCAATCCCCGGCTGCTCCCCGGCCACCAGAGGAGGGTCCCACATGGCGCGCAGACCTCTCCTGCCGCCCTCTGCTCCCCTCAGCAGTGTACTTCATCAGTCTGTCTGTTCTGTTACCCGCTCTGGCTCTGGTGAATTCTCTCACCCTCCCGCGATTCTGACTGTACCCAGTGCTTGTATAAATAAATAAATAAAGATTTATTTATTCATGCATAGAAGAACTGGGGTATAGGCCAGAGATGGGGGAGGTGAGAGGACCTACCAGAGACAGAGTGGGGAGCAGAACAGGCAGATCTAACTGAAATACACTCCTGAGGGGAGTAGCAGGTGAGTCAGGAGAGGTCTGCTGCGCCATGTGGGTCAGCTCCCTGGCTGACTATGGATGGAACTCATGTCATGCTGTGGTAGCGGTGGACAGCTTCACAATGCTGTGCTTCACCACCAGGGAGGCCCAGGTCTTCCTAACTTTATCTTGGTGCCTGGGACACCACCAGGGTTGTTTTATCCAGAGAAGAAACCAACTTCTCATGCCTTTGGGACATGAGACAGTTTTGCAAATTGGAGCAAGTCACCTTCAGAAGTTGGGTTGGGGTGGCGGCCACCCAGGTTATAGACTTGGGGACACTACCCCCTTGATCCTTGCGTTCAAAAGATGGCTATTGGAACCTGGAAGCACCCTTCCTGATATGAGACTGATCAGAGGTTATTTTGCCGTTATAAAGATAGACATATTTGTACAGAGAAAGAAATCTTAAAAGAAAAGGGAGGGGGGTGTCTCCTCCCTTATTTTCAAGTGGGGGAATGAAGCCCCTTATATTTCATTGGTATTTATCTTCTTCACACAACGCAGTGGTAGTTTGGTTTCTAGTCATCTGATGGTGTGTGGGAGGTGGATAGTGATGTCAGGGTGAGCAAAAAGAAATCAGCCTGGGGGCTCTCTGGTGGCGCAAGGGGTTAGGTCTCAGCACTATGAAGCTGTCCGCAGCCACTATGACATGAGTTTAATCCCCGGCCAGGGAGCTGGCCCACATGGTGCAGCAGACCTCTGCACCCTCTCTGTCTCTGGTGAATCCTCTCACACACACCCAACCTCTGGCCTGCACCCCAGCTCTTGCATGAATAAAATAAATAAAACGAATCTTTAAAAAAAAATCAGCCTAACATTTCACTTTAATTTTTAAAAATCCTTTGTGGAATATTATTCAGCCTTAAAAAAGGAATGAATTTCTGATACCTACCACATGGACAACCTTGAAAATATTATGCTGAATGAAATGAACCAGACACAGAGGGACAAATGCTGTAGGATTCCATTTAGATGAGGCCCCTGGACTGATCAAATTCATAGGGACAGAAATTCATAGGACAGGGGGAGATGGGAATGCAGTTATTGATTAACGGGCAAAGAGCTTCAGATGAGATGATAAAAGATTTTAGAAAAGATGCTGGCACAACAGTTTGAATATATTTCATGCCATTGAATAGTACACTTAATTAACATGGTTGAAATAGTAAGTGGGCATGTGTGTGTTTGTGTGTGCGTTAAGTGTATATAATTTTAGTCTATAACCTGTATCACCACCACCCAGGTTAAGAATACCTCTCTCCCCATCACCCGAGCTACACTTTGTATGATCGTCCCCTTGGCGAAAAGGGCCCGGGAGGGCCAGAACCTTTCTCTCCTTGACTTCCATAGCCATGTAGACATTTTGTCATTTAATTCCTACTACTAGATGCTCTCCAGTTGCCAGGTCTGAGTAGCTGATATTTTTTTTTTTTTCTTTCAAAGTCACCGTTACAAAGAAGAAGGAGCCATTTGACACCTAACCTGGTTGACATTGCCATCTGGTGGGTATTATTTCCGGTGCCCTGCCCAAGCATTTGTGGTGGATCTTAAGCTACATTTCTTTTCCAAATCATAGACATGGGACTGGGGCTCTCTCAGCCACGATCTGCAACAGAGCACAGGACAGTGTTTTTTATTCTTTTGTTCTACCCACCAGATTGGGTTTATTTTACCCAAAAGAGAGATTCCTGAAAGGTGATATATAAATAAAATTTGGGGTAAAAATAGTCACATTTTGGGCCTCCCCGTTGGCGCAAGGGGTTAAGCACAGAACTGTGAAGCTATCCGCAGCCTCTGCAACACGAGTTGAGCTACCCACATGACACAGCAGGCCTCTCCTCTCTCCCCGCTGCTCCCCTCAGCAGTGTATTTCAGTCTGTCTGCCTGTTCTGTTCCCCACTCTGTCTCTGGTGAATCCTCTCAACCCCCTACACCTCTGGCCTGTACCCCATCTTGTATGCATAAATATATAAATCTTAAAAAAAAAAAAGAGAATAGTCACATTTTAAAGGCTAGCTGAGAAAATCATCTTGGGGAGTGAAGAAATTGTCCTGTATGTTAGTGTTTCTCAATCTTTTTAAACATCCACCCAGGAGCAAGAATTCCATTTTACTCCTCCCCCAGTAGGCACACGCCTAGGTAAAACCGATCCAGACTTTTCATAAAACAACTTACGCTCTCTACACGGGATACAATCTGAAATGTTTTGCTCATCACTTTTGTAAAAATGCTGATTGCAACCCACTAAAATTGATTTCATGACTCATGAATAGGTCTCAGCCCACAGTTAGAAAATACCAGGCCAATTTAAATATTTTATCAGTGCGGATCTCTCTCCTTTGCTCGTTGTGTCTAGAGCTTCACTGTCCAAATGTTACAGACTATGTAGTGGAGAAAAGCTAGTCCCTAGGAGATGAGCCGTTACCTCTCAAGTTACAGTGATAAGCCGCGGGGAGGTGAAATTCTTTCTTTATTTGAAAAGTCTGTTAAAAGTGGGGGCGGAGGGTGGTGACTGTATGTTTTATCTGCAGACTCTTCTGGACTCTGGGGGGAAAAAAAAGGAAAAATCGCCTCCGCTTTAGACTTCTACTGCCAGCACTGGGGACTCAAGAGGTTTTCTCAGAGCTAGAAATTAACCTTCTTTCTTTATGGTAGATTTTTGGGGGGTGGGGGGAATACAGACTTTTTTTTTCCAGCTCTTTCTTCCCGTGCAAATGCGGTTTTTAGTTTTTGTATTTCCTCCTTTCTGTCAGTGGCTCCTGAAAAAAACGACTGACGTCCACAAAGCAATGAAATGGCTCAAAAGCCAGAGCTGTGCAGAACTCCCTCCAGCAAGCTAACAAGGGGTGCCGGGGAGAAGGTGCAGGGAAAGCAGGAACAAGGTGGCTTCCGATGCAGGGGCTGAGTTAACTGCTCAGTCCTCCGGGTGGGCTCCGTGCGGCTGGGGGAAAGCTGGCTGTGTGCGTGCTGGCCAGCGCCTCTCCGCGCCTCCTTCCTGGCCGGTGCTCCCCAGCGCCTCCTCCCCAAAGGCTGCGTGGGCTCAGGGGAGGTGGGAGGGCTAGCATTTTCCTTTCACTTTCTCAGGTCGCCAAACCTGCCACCTGAGGACAGAACTACAGTTCCCACCACGCAGCGAGGCAGGAGGAAGAAGGAGCCCTAAGAGCCGAAGGGGGAAACAGGAGAGAAAGCAAACCTCAGCTGCTCGCAGAGGAGAGAGTGAGAGGTGTGCCACAGGTGAGGGCTGCGGAGGGGGGATGGAGGGCTCTGGGGGACCATGGCTCCTTCCTCCTTGGGGTGGGGGGTGCTGAGGTTAAGGTAGACGGGCTGTGTAGAAATCCTAAGGGCTTTGTTGGGGGTTGGGGTGGGGGACGACATGGAAGTAAGTCTTAAGCTCAAGTTACAGTGATAAGTCACCGGAAGTGGAACGACTTTCTTTTTTGAAAAGTTAGAAAGGGAAGGGGAGGTGTTGCTTGTGTCTCTTGTCTGCGAGGTCATTTAGCCATAGGTGACTTCAGAGGCATGAGAGAGAGAGAAAGAAATGAGAGAGAGAGAGAGAGAAATGAGAGAGAGAGAGAGAAATAAGAGAGAAAGAGAGAGAGGAGAACCTTCTTCCTGCATTTAAAGCTTGGGGGGCTCCATACAGACTGGATATTATGTGCATTTTAATTTGTGTGATGACAGAGACTTGTCCTTTTCTATGACTACAGAGAATACCAGAGAATAAAACTGGGGAAATGAAGAAGGGGTGTCAGGCGAGAGGCAGGAACAATTCACAGCACATCAAATGTAATCACATGGAATGAGGTTTCACGTATTTTCATGAGTCATTTGACAAAGAGACCTAACACAATATCGTATGAAGAACAGCTGAAGGGCACAGGGACGTTTGCCTTCAAGGGTTATGCTCTTTGCTTCAAATGTCTGATGGGCTGCCATGTGTGGAACTGAGATTTGCAGAGTCCCGGCCTCAGGAGGACGCAGGAGAGTCAACAGATGAAAATCCAGGGAGACAGACTTCACCCATGGGTGTTAGAGCTGCACCCACAAAATGGATTTTTTCAGGAGGTAGTGAGTTTCTCATGATCCAAGTTATTGACATATAGGTGAATATTTAGACCAAGATGTGGGTAGTGGGACTAAAGCTTCAGGGGGGTGATTGTGTGACCACTGTCACACAATCCTCAGCCTGACTGGTCATCAGAGTTACCAAGGAACATGTACGTGTGCGTGTGTGTGTCTTTAAATATATTTACCAGGGGCCTCCTTGGAGGCGCAGGGGTTAAGTCTCAGTGCTGTCAAGCTATCACCAGCCACTGCGACAAGGGTTCAATCCCCAGCCAGGGAGCTGACCCACATGGCACAGCCGACCTCTCCTGTCTCGCCCGCTGCTCCCCTCAGCAGTGTATTTCAGTGGATCTGCCTGTTCTGCTCCCCACTCTGTCTCTGGTGAATCTTGTGACCTCCCCCCAACCCCCTGCACCTCTGGCCTATACCCCAGCTCCTGTATGCATAAATAAATAAAAATAAATCTCATAACTATATTTACCAGATCTCTGGTGGGCTCCAGGAATATATAATTGTAATTATATCCCCCAGACAATTGTGTAACAATAATGATTGTGATAATGTGATAACGATTAATTTGGAAAAGCACTGTCATAGAAATTACATTCAGACCACAATATTCATTTTGAATAATCTCCAAATCCTCAGTTCCTGGTTCAGAAGATTCCAGTGCCCATTAGAAGGAAAAGGCTGCATCACTTTTCCCTAAACTGCTTTCGCTGTCAACTCTGCTCCATCCTGGTTGCTGGCTGCCTGGAAGGACAGTGTCCTGGGCCATGGGTCCCTGCCTCCGTGGAGCTGAGACCACGTGGCATCTCCTCTGCCATCCTCCTGCGCCCTGGGCATTCTAGCAGTGCCTGGAGCCCCGGTCTCCATGACTAGGATTCTGTCAGGGTTGTCACCCAACAGCATCGGCTGTGTGCTGGAACCAGCTGGGCACGGCGGCAGAGCCTCTGCAGCCTGAGTGTGCCCTGAGATCAGGCCGGCCCACCGCAGAGGTGAGGGCTCTGGGAGCAGCGCTGGGGGTAGAGCTCAGGAACCATGTCTCCCCCACCAGGATGTGAGTGCGGTGAAGGTGATGCCACCCGTCTTATCCCGCCCTGATCCATGGTACCTGGAGTTGAGTCTGGCGCCACAGGCTCACTCGAGACACTGAATTCCTTTCTCTTCTAGGTCTGACCACCCAGACGGGACCATGCAGTTCTCCGGCTCAGCCAGGGCAGCAGATGAGAACTTCGACTATTTGTTCAAGATCATCCTCATCGGGGATTCCAACGTGGGGAAGACGTGTGTGGTGCAGCACTTCCGATCCGGGGTCTTCACAGAGACCCAGCAGAACACCATCGGGGTGGACTTCACTGTGCGCTCCCTCAACATCGATGGCAAGAAAGTGAAGGTCAGCGGGGCCCGGGGATGGCTTCAGCGCTCCCGACACAGAAACGTGGGAGAGGAGGGACAGTTTCACTCTAAAACATGAAATCAGGGGCCTTCCTGGTGGCCTATGATTAAGTCTCAGCGCTATCACCCCTGAGGCCTGAGTGTGATCCCCGGTCAGGGAGGTGACCCACAGGGCACAGCAGACCTCAGCAGTGGATTTCAGTAGATCTGCCTGTTCTGCTCCCCACTCTCTCTGGTGAATCCTCTCACCCACCCCCACACCCACACCTCTGACCTACACCCCAGTTGTTCTATGCAAAAATAAATAAAATCATTTAAAAAAAAACATTAAGGACCTCCCTGGTGGCGCAGCGGTTGAGCGCTGGGTTGCGAAGCTGCCCGCGGCCTCTGGGGCGCCGGTTCAATCCCCTGCTGCTCCCCGGCCACCGGAGGAGGGTCCCACATGGCGCGCAGACCTCTCCTGCTGCCCGCTGCTCCCCTCAGCAGTGTCCTTCGGTCCTTCTGCCTGCTCTGCTCCCCGCTCTGGCTCTGGTGAATTCTCTCACCCTCCCGCACTTCTGACTCTACCCAGTGTATGTATAAACAAAACAAACAAACAAATAAATAAATAAAACATGAAAAAAAATAAAAAAAACATTAAATAATAAACGGACTAGGGAAAAAAAAAAAAGGTGTGTTTAGAACCAGGGGAAGCCATAAAGGAAAATATTGCTCCATCTAATGATCTAAAGGTCAAATGTATACACTTCTATATAACTTGACAAAGGTCAAATTTCCACACCCTCAAAGACCATAAACACGTGAAAAAAATGTATGTCAAACTGGAAAGAAATGTTAGCAGATCCAGAACTTGACAAATGGCTCATTTCTTTCCTATGATAAGAGCCCTGAGGTGTATCTAAGAACAGCAACCAAATCCAAAAAGCAGGAACTTCACAGATTGCCCAGAATTGCTATTTCACAAATTTTATAAGAATTTCTGTAAAGGTGTAAATCCTCACTCCTGACTAAAGAAGTGCAAATTAAAATAGCGGTGAGGAACTTACTCTTTTACCTACTTGATTAGAAAAAGATCGAAAAGCATTGGTGAAATGTAACAGGTGGATCCTGTTTAGGATCCTGATTAAATAGGAACGATAGTGCAAGGACATTTTGGAGACAGTCCAGGAAATTTTACTGTGGTCTGGCTATCAGATGATACCACGAGCTACTGAAGTTTATTAGCAGTGATTTGGTTAGAGGGTCGATTGAAACCAAAAAGAACATAGATCCCCGGACAGTAGAGTCACCTCCCAGTCCCGACTGCCCATCCAAATCCCCCTGGTGAGCAGCTGAAGAAGCCCACTCCTAGACCCCACCCCAGACTACCGAATCAGGGTCTGGAGAAATGAAGCCAGAGAATGGGCCTGCCCTGGTGGCGCAGCGGTTGAGCGCTGAGCTGTGAGGCTGCCTGCAGCCTCTGCAGCGCTGGTTCGTTCCCCGGCCACCGGCGAGGGTACCCCCCCCCCAAAAAAGAAAGAAATGAAGCCAGGAAAACTATTTTTCAGCTGACTCAGGTGAGCAAGTTCCCTCAGGCTCCTGATGCCCGTCCCTCCTCCAGATGCAGGTGTGGGACACAGCAGGCCAGGAGCGCTTCCGGACCATCACCCAGAGCTACTACCGCAGTGCACACGCGGCCATCATCGCCTACGACCTCACCCGGCGGTCCACCTTCGAGTCTGTTCCCCACTGGATTCACGAGATAGAAAAATACGGCGCGGCGAACCTGGTCATCATGCTGATCGGTATGGCGTTCAACTTTTCTTCACCGGCCCCCTCTCCTGATGCTCTGTGTGTTCCTGGTGGCAATGGAACATAAACTCGTTAATGTGTGCGGGGTGAACAGGACCTCAGAAAGCATCTGGTCCAGAAATGCCCATCAGATCCACTTGAGAAAGAGAATTGGGAGGTGAGGGAGGAAGCACCTGTTGGGAATGCAGATCCCAAGGCCCGGCCTAGAGTTTCTTTTTCCTGAGACCTGGGGTGGAGCCCGGGACATCTAGTGGAAGGCACGCCCAGCTGAGTCTCTGTATCTGTGTCAGCCACACAGGAAGTATCTGTACTCTGAGGTTCCCAGGGGGAGCGCTGGCGTGAACTGCAGTGCGACACTCTCAAATGCCTTCTAACACTGACTCGGATCCTAAGTCAGTCCTACCAAGGTGTCAAAATGAACAGCAACTTCAGTCACGTGAAGGGAACTCCCAGCGTGGCGTGTGAGGGGCCCTACTGTACATTCAGGAAAGCGTGTATAGTTTTAGTTTTGCAAGAAGAGCTGCTTTTCTTTCCTCTTCCGGGCACTGTTTAGCAAGCAGCTGCTTCAGTTGGGCAAGTTGTTTCAGACCCTGCCACTCGTGTGTTCCACGCACCTGCAGCATCAGGTGCTAAAAGTGCAAGATCTTGGGGTCTCCCTGGTGGTGCAAGGGGTTAAGTCTTGGCACTATGAAGCTATCAGCAGCCACTGTGGCCAGGGAGCTACCCACATGGTGCAGCAGACCTCTCCTGTCTCACCCGCTGCTCCCCTCAGCAGTGTATTTCAGTAGACCGCCTGTTCTGCTCCCCACTTTGTCTCCGGTGAATCCTCTCAGCCCCCACACCTCTGACCTGTATCCAGCTCTTGTATGCATAAATAAATAAAATAAATCTTTTTAAAAAGGTGCAAGATCTCACTGGAGCGGAATCTTCATTTTTACAGAATCCTAGAGAGATTCTTGGGCAACCACCTTTGCATTTTTGCTATCACAATTCCAGAAAGGACTTGTTTTTGTTTCTTTTTTTAAAAGATTTATTTATGCATACAAGAGCTGGGGAGCAGGCTAGAGGTGCTGGTGGGTAAGAGGATTCACCAGAGAGAGCGTGGGGAGCAGAACAGGCAGATCTACTGAAATACACTGCTGAGGGCCTGGCTGGGGATCATACTAATGCTCAGTGGCTGGCCATAGCTTGATAGTGCTGAGACTTAACCCCTTGTGCCACCAGGGAGGCCCCCAGGACTTGTTATTTTCAAACCATTTCTTTTCTACGTCTTTGTGGTGTTGATTCATAATCCTCTCTTTCCTCATCCCCCTCTGCTCTATTTCTGGCACCTTAACTCCTTAGACTCTCCTCAGAGTAGGGGTTTAGGAACCCAATTTCCTTCTGTAGGTTGCACTGGATGTTCTGTCTGAACCTTCTGGTCTGAGCATCTGCTTTTCGTCCCCCTGAGATGTCAGGCGGACCTTTCACTAAGGCTGCTGTTATAGTCACAGGCCACAGTCTCTCAGCAAGAACCTTGAGGTCCAGAGCTTAGAAGGGCACCTATGTGTTACCTGACACCCTCATCAGAGTCTGGGCCAACAGCCTAGTCAGGTCAGATGTGTTAATATTTACACTGCGAAATGGATGACCAGCCATACAAAGCAGGAGGAATCAAAACTTCAAATGGCCAGCTTAAGGCAGATCTTACTATGAGATCAGTTACCAAAAAACATCGGGGTTCACAGCTCTTTGGTCCCATGGATTATGTACCTGTACTGTTAGCAACTGGGCCATTCATTTGCCTGCTCCCTGGCATATAGTATTTTGTGGCCTAGTTTTCTGTTCATGCTCCTGTGTTCTAGGACTGTAAATTCTTGCATAACTATTTAATTCTCCATGTGTTTCTCTTGCCTCCCTAACAAGATGAAGACCCCCCTCCGTAAGGGTTGGGCCCATGCAGCTCCCTTACACCCCACTGACCCTTTTCCCCTTGCCATCCACCTTAAGGTTGGAAGCCTCACTTGGTTTATCAGTGTCCACTGGCTTTTTGCCTTGCCAAATCGTCTAGTACGCGGATATCCAGTATCTGTCATTCTAACTTACTTTACTACACACTGTTCCCTCCAACTCCTTCCATGTTGCAGAAAATGACAACATTTCCTCTTTCCTTATGACTGAATGGTTTTCCATTATGTGATTAGACCATATAGTCTTTTTTTAAAAGATTTATTTATGCATAAAAGAGCTGGTGTGCACGCCAGAGGTGCAGGGGGTGAGAGGATTCACCAGCTAAAGAGTGGGGAGCAGAACAGGCAGATCTAGTGAAATTCACTGCTGAGGAGTAGTGGGTGAGACAGGAGAGGTCTGCTGCTCCATGTGGGTCAGCTCCCTGCCTGGAGATCGGACTCATGCTGCAGTGGCTGCGGATAGCTTGATAATGCTGAGACTTAACCCCTTGCGCCACCAGGAAGGCCCTAGACCATGTCTTCTTAACCCAGTCCTCTATCAGCAGGCCCTTGGGTTGTTTTTATGTTCTAGCTATTGTAAATAATGCTGCAATAGTGCTGTAGAGCCTACGTTTTCTTTGAGCTGATGGTTTCGTGTTCTTTGGCTAGATGCCCAAGGGTAAGATGGCTGAGTCATATAGCATTTCCATTTTTAGTTGTTCGAGGTAAACCCAGATGGCTTTCCGAAATGACTTTGCCCATTCACGTTCCCACTAACACTGTAAGAGTATTCCTCTTTCTCTGCATCCTCTCTAGCACTTGTTTTTTTTTTAAGATTTATTTTTATTTATTTATGCATATAAGAACTGGGGTGTAGACCAGAGGTGTGGGGTGGGGGGGGGCATGAGAGGATTCACTAGAGACAGAGTGGGGAGCAGAACAGGCGGATCTACTGAAATACACTGCTGAGGGGAGCAGCAGGCGAGACAGGAGAGGTCTGCTGCGCCATGTGGGTTGCTCCCTGGCCAGGATCGAACTCAGGCCATCGCGGAGATAGCGCTGAGATGTAAGCCCTAGGCCACCAGGGAGGCCCCCGAAAATGTTGTTTTTAAAGTTCATTTTAAGATGACATTACTCAATAGAATACTGATCTCTCTCTTACTCCCAGGGAACAAATCTGACTTGTGGGAAAAAAGGCACGTTCTGTTTGAGGATGCCTGCACCCTGGCCGAGAAATACGGTCTCCTTGCTGTTTTGGAGACGTCTGCCAAGGAGTCCAAGAACATAGACGAAGTCTTCTTGCTGATGGCCAGGGAGCTGATGGCCCGCAACAGCCTGCACCTGTACGGGGGGAGCGCCCTCAGCAGCCTCCCACTGGACTCCAGCCCGGTGCTTATGGCCCAGGCCCCCAGTGAAAAGACCCACTGCACTTGCTGAATGTGGCAAGGCCTGTGACACCCCCCAGGGGCCATCTCTGAAACCAAAGTCGCCTGATAGCCTAGTCCACTGAATAGCTTTATCAGCAAAGTGTAGACTCGCCGTGCTGAATCCTCCCTGCTGTGTCGGTAGCTTGTCCGCCTCAGGTCACACCAGAGGCCACAACCGCTGACTCTGAGGACAGAGATTTTTCTTCACTTTGCCTAGCGAAATCAGGACTCAAGCCTGGGCAGGAGGACAAGGTTTGCCCTTTTTCATCGTCCCCTCTTCTGTCTCCCCACTGCTTCAGCCTTTTCTACTCGTTTGTCTTGAAGGAGGTAGTGAAGGAAAGAAGAAAAGAGAAAAATCGAGAGAGAGAAGAGGATGTTTGGAATGGCTCAGGGCTGGGAGCAGGGGGAAAGCTTGCAATGCTGTGATCTTTATCTTCCTGACAGTCACACCTCCGGTCTTTAGCTTGGGGGGCAAAGCCTTTTGACATAAAGACCATAAATACCGTCTTGCCATATGGTCGGGAGCCATGTGATGGAGAGAGAATTGGCCCTCACTTTTTCCCACTTGGACTTGACCGCCGTCTAGGAGGTGGGAGAGGCCACCAATCTCTAAAACACCCAATTATCTGCTGGATCAGCAGTCATTTCTGAGTTAAAATTAAATTGACTCAGATGAAAATCAAACCAGTGTTGACCTTGCTGTGTCACCCCGGGTGCCCATAAAGCTTCTGGAAACTTAATAAATCTTGTTTTTTCAAAGTTCCCTGATAGGGCCTCCCTGGTGGTGCAAGGGGTTAAGCACCGCACTAGGAAGCAATCTGCAGCCTCTGCAGCACAGGTTCAATCCCCAGCTTTCCAGGGAGCAACTAGAGGTGCAGCAGACCTCTGCTGACTCTCCTGCTGCTCCCCTCAGCAGTGTATTTCAATCTGCCTGTTCTGTTCCCCGCTCTGTCTCTGGTGAATCCTCTCACCCCCACCCCCCAGCATCTCTGGCCTGTACCCCAGCTCTTGTATGCATAAATAAATAAATCTTTAAAAAAAAAAATTCCCTAGTCATAGTTGCTGAGGTGTGTCCTCTATCATGTAAGGACCAGAAGGCCTGGTCCAGCCACACATTGGCTCTGAAAGGGGCGATATCTTGGTGGGGAGGGTCACCTCTGGCCTCTGGCCCAGGTGACAGCTCCCTGGCCTCTCTAGCCCATAGTATCACTGAGACTGGCAGCTAACAAATGGCCACCAACCACTTGGACTGCTTGAAATGTGGCTAATTCAAATTTGAGAGGAGCTCTAGGTGTAAGATACACTTCAGGTTTTCAACACAGTACAAAAAAAAGAATGTCACGGATCTTACTAACCATTTTTATGTTGATTATGTTTAAGTAATATTTTACATATACTAGGTTAAATAAAATATATTACTAAAATTTCACCTGTTTCTTTTTACTTTTTTAATACCTTTCATTTTCTCCCCACACCCATCATGCCCTGAAGTCAAGGCCAGCAGCTGGGGCTCTCCCCAGGTTCTTCCACAGTGAGTTTCTGGGGGGAGGAGGGTGAAGCTGGCATTTCAGTTGACGCCGAGGACATTTTGCTTTGGATCCTTTTTTCCTGATCCTTTTTTTCTTTTTCTTTTTTTTAAGATTTATTTATTTATGCATACAAGAGGTGGGGTACAGGCCAGAGCTGTGGGGGGTGAGAGGATTCACCAGAGACAGAGAGGGGAACAGAACAGGCAGACTGATGAAACACTCTGCTGAGGGGAGCAGCTGGTACGACAGGAGAGGTTCGCTGCACTGTGTGGGCTGCTCCCTGGCTGGCTGGGGATAGAACTCGTGCTGCAGAGGCTGCGGATTGCTTCATAGTGTGGCACCTTAGCGCTTGAGCCACTAGGGAGGCCCCTTTCCTGATCATTTTCTTTCACACATTTCAGGAATCATCTCAGCCCTGAGAGTGCTGGGCTGGCTCACCACCAACGTGAGTTCCCTTGGCAAGAATCTGGCCCTTGGGGCCTCCCCAGTGGTGCAGGGGTTAAAGTCTCAGTGCTATCAAGCTATTGGCAGCCACTATGGCATGAGTTTGATTCCCAGCCAGGGAGCTACCCACATGGCTCAGCAGACCTCTCCTGTGTCACCCACTGCTCCCCTCAGCAGTGTATTGCAGTAGATCTGCCTTTTCTGTTCCCCACTGTGTCTCTGGTGAATCCTCGCATCACCTTTAACCTACACCCCAGTTCTTCTATGCAAAAAAAAAAAAAAAGGAGCACAGAATAGGTGATAATTCTGCAATATCATCCAAAGATTACTTACCTTTCATCTGATATATGTAGCATTTACTTATCATTATTTCTTACATTTACTAATTTTAAATTGTGTATTAAGAACTTTAGAACTTGAGAAACCAACAGTTAAGAGAACACAGAGGAAAGATTATATTCAATTTGTTTTTTCACTTTGGGGGAATAAAAGTGATCCATTCATAATGTGTTACTTTTTCAAAAGTTGCTTGCAAATAGCAGCCTGAAGCCTTCTCACCTAATTTAGAAATAAAACTCCCAATTACAGAAACACAAGCTAAATCATTTGTCAAAATACCAAACCAGTTGCTTTTTTTAAAACCTCGGGTATACAGTCACTCAACATATCCCAACAGGTGTCTGTGTTACAGTTGCTGATCTACAGTTTACTGTTAAATAAAAATAACTTAACCAGGGAACATAATTCTAGTGGGAAAAACTCAGTATATCTAAATACAAATAAAAGAATTGCTCTCCTGGTAATAATCACATATTATGAATGCAACTAATGCACTAAATTGTCCATTTAAAATGGTTAACATGGCAAATTGTGTTACATTATTCTACCACGATTGATAAAAAATTAATGATGTAATATTCCCAAAACCAGGCATTGTGCATTTTAAATGAGCGAACTGCACAATACGTAAATTACATCCCACTAAAGCCTTTAGAATTTTTTTTAATGAGCTCAAAGGGCAAAAGGAGAAAAAAATGCATTTTAAATGAATTTTACAAAATAATAACAATCTTTAATAATAATATATCAGCCGGGCATTTTCTTTTTACCCTTACTGCAAAAACACTGAAACTATTTTTTGGGTCCTTGAAGAAGTTACTAACATTGTTTTTCACTTAAAACAAATGAGAAAAGAATTTGTCTTTTTGGGGGAAAAGGATGGAAACACTGCTTTTAGAAAAGCTAATTTTTTTCCCAATGTAGCATTTTAACAACTTTTTTCTTCTGCTACACATTGAAGAAAAATTACAGAAAAGCTTAAGAATATTAACATCAGGTGGCACAAGGGGTTAAGACGCAACCTATGAAGCTATCCACAGCCACTGCAGCCTGAGTTTGATCCCCGGCCAGGGAGATACCCACATGGCACAGCAGACCGCTCCTGACTCACCTGCTGCTCCCCTCAGCAGTGTATTTCAGTCAGTCTGCCTGTTCTGTTCCCTGCTCTGACTCTGGTGAATCCTCTCTCACCCCCCACACTTCTGACCTGTACCCCAATTCTTGCATGCATAAATAAATCTTTAAAAAAAAAAAAGAATATTAAGATCACCTGGGATTGCATGCAGAGTGATTCAGTACACTTCTCTACAGGGTTCTTTCTCTATATATTTACTTCCCCTAACTTCCTGACGATCACCGGGATACAGCTATTACTCACGTAGCCCTGGAAGGTTGAAGTCCTGCCCCGGCCATTTTCAATATGAGCCTGGCAAGTCACTTCCAATTGGGCACTTTGGTCTTCTCCACCAGAAAAAGGCAGCTGGACTAGAGAGTGTGTTGATCCTGGCTGTGATGTGCTGGTGAGTCAGCCCTCACTGGGCGTCCTGGATGGGTTCTTGGAAACTGGGACTTAAAGGAACAATACAGAACAAAAGCAGGTCCTCAAACAATGTTGTTTCATTGGATGTCAGCTGTGTTCTTTTATTTCTCATCAACATTACAACAAAACTACATTGAGGGCCTTCCTGGTGGCACAGGTGGTTGAGCACAGCGGGGAGATACCCACATGGCACAGCAGATCTCTCCTGCCTCGCCCGCTGCTTCCCTCAGCAGTGTATTTTGGTCAGTCTGCCTGTTCTGTTCCCCACTCTGTCTCTGGTAGATCCTCTCACCCTCCCGCACCTCTGGCCTGTACCCAGGTTCTTGTATGCATGAATAAACAAATCATTAAAAAAAACTACATTGAATGAAGTAAACTTATGAAAACTACCTTGAACCATGTCAGTTTTTGCTCATGAAACACAGTTCAATTGAGTTCATGAGTTCAATTCAAGCATCACTCTATACTTTGTCCTGGGGTAAAAAAGAAGGGTGGAAAAAAAGAATTCTCTGATATTAAAAAAAAAAAAAAGAATTCAGTGTCGAGCTGCAACAAAGTTTGCAGATTTGAAGCTAAATGGTGTGTGGTTGGGATGTGGGTATTGGGATAAAAAAAAAAAACGTTGTGTGGTCAATGGTTAGAATGTAATGAGGGGGATGTGCATTGCCGCAACATCCAATTTAATGTCTGTCAAATCCAACAATAACAACTTTAGGGTTGTACTGCGAAGGATTTTTTTGGTTGCATTTTTCTAAGAATTCATGTTTATTGTCTTTTACAAGAGTATTGGCCCACTGTACGTACAGAATTGGGGAAAAAAAAAAAAGATAACCAGTCCTTTACATGAATAGCTTGGTATAGAACAACATTAAGGGCTAGGGAAGATGGTCATCAATTCCTTCTATTGCTGTAAGAAACCTAGGGAAGAATGTGCACATTGCACATTTGGCAACGTGCTCTGGTAGGATGAGGAGGAAGCCGGTGGCATGAGGCACAATCTTCTTGTTTCTGGTATCTAGTCAGTAGGACCCCAGTCTGAAGGCTGCTTCATGGGTTATCAACTGTGAAACCACAGGCAAATGATTTAGCCTGTTTTAGTTTCCTCTGTTGTAAAAGAGATGCCACTAACCTCAGATTGATGTAAGAATTAAATCGTAACTAACTACTAGTACTTGCTACATACTCCCTAGCAGTATGATTAACAAGCCATCCAAGAAGGCATTGATGATCTCACTTAGACTCGGCTGTGATTGAGAGGGTCGTAAGGGTTATGTTCTGCCTATATTTGTAATCTGCAGGATTTGTTTTTTTTTTTTTTAAAGATTTATTTATTTTATACAAGAACCAGGGTACAGGCCAGATGCGCGGGAGGGTGAGAGGATTCACCAGAGACAGAGCGGGGAACAGAACAGACAGACTGACGAAATACACTGCTGAGGGGAGCAGCGGGTGCGGCAGGAGAAGTCTGTCGTGCCATGTGGGACCCTCGCCGGCCAGCCGGGATCGAACCCACACTACAGAGGTGGCGGACAGCTTTGCAGTGCAGTGCTCAACTGCCTGCGCCACCAGGGGAGGCCCTGTAATCTGCAGGACTTGAACTAAGCATATATTGTACAAAAAGCTACAAGTCTTATATGAGTCTCTTGATGCAAATAAACTTAATAATCAAAAACAGAGAAATCATCATCCTAAGTCTTGAGGTGTAGGACTTTACAGGGTCATGAGACAACATGTTGACGGTGCAGCAGACCTCTCCTGTCTCACCTGCTGTTCCCCTCAGCAGTGCATTTCAGTTAATCCACCTGTTCTCCCTACTCTGTCTCTGGTGAATCATCTCACCCCCCACACCTCTCTGGCCTGTACCCCAGCTCTTGTATGCATAAATATTTTTTTAAAAAGAGAGAGAAAACATGTTGAAGTCACAAAGAACTGTAGTATGGTGAAGAACGTAAATCTTGTTAAGGTCACCTAGAAAAGTGAGCCAGGTCCAGAGAGAAAGCAAACAGCACATCTGTATAAAGAAACCCAGCTGTGGGGTCCAAAGTCATTGGTCTACTCCTTAGTCACTGGAGCTGTTAACTTCTGAATCTGGTATCTTCATTTGCTAAAATGAGCTGAGTACCTGCCTAAACTTCCTTACAGACTCCTGAGGATCCATTAAAGGAGCTGTGGATGTGCTTTATAAAGCACTAGGCTTTATGAGTTATTTGAAGAGTGTTATAGGTAGGTGGCATGGACTTCAAATTATGGCACAAGTGGTCCAATAAAAAGAAGAATCCAACAGAAGAATGATAGTCCAGGTCTCTTTGGGATAGGATTCTGAGGGTACAATGACCTCAGAGGAGAGTTAATTTCCATTTAGGCCAAGAACAGAGAAAAATGGCACCATCAAAACCACAAGAGTGGGCCTCCCTGGTGGGGCAAGGGGTTAAGATGCAACCTATGAAGCAATCCGCAGCCACTGCAGCACGAGTTCGATCCCCGGCCAGGGAGCTGACCCAAATGGCACAGCAGGCCTCTCCTGTCTCACCTGCTGCTCCCCTCGGCAGTGTATTTCAGTCACTCTGCCTGTTCTGTTCCCCACTCTGTCTCTGTTGAATCCTCTCACCTCCCCCCACCCCACTTCTGGCCTGTACCACAGTTCTCGTATGCATAAAATAAATATTAAAAAAAAACCACAAGAGCAGCCCTCCCTGGTGATCTAGGGATTAAGTCTCAGTGCTCTCACCCCTATGGCCTGAGTTGGATCCCCGGCCAAGGATCTAACCCATATGGTCCAGACCTCTCCTGTCTCACCTGCTGTTCCCCTCTGCAGTATATTTCAGTAGATCAACCTGTTCGGCTCCCAAGTCTCTGGTGAATCCTCTTCCCGCCCCAACTCTGGTCTATAACCCAGTTCTTCTGTGCAAAACAAAACCAAACCCACAAGATACTACTTCACAAACACTAGGAAGGCAATAAGAAAAGATGGACAATTACAAGTGTTGGTGAGAATGTGCGGAAATTGGAATCCTCATACATCATTGGTGGGAATGCCCCGCTTTAGAAAACAGTTGGGTGGTTTCCTCAAAAAGTGAAGACATAGTTTCCACATGACCCACATACATATGCAAGAGAAGCTGAACCATATGTCCACACAAGAATATGCAACATGAGTGTTCACTGCAGCATTATTTAGAATAGCCCCCAAAGAAAACCCAAACAGCCATCAACTGATGGATAAACACAAGGCGGTGTAGTCATACAGCGGAATCCTATTCAGCAGTAAAAAGAAATGAAGCTCTGATACATGCTGCAACACAGGTAAACCTGAAGACATGAAAAATCAATCAAAGTCAGTGACAAGAGGGCACCTATGCAATGATCCCACTTCTATGAAACGCCCAGAACAGCCAAATGCAGACACAGTTACCAATCTCTGTGGCTTGACTGCAGCGGACAGTGGTTGCCAGGGCTGAGGTAAGAAGGAAATGGGTAGTGAATAATAACAGGGACGATGAAAATGTTTTGCAATTAGGTAGTGATGAGGACTGCAAGATCTCAGGTCCCTTCCTTCCAGACAAGCACTGTCCTGTGAGGACGACTTAACTCTAGAGCACTTCTTTTATCCAAAATGTAGGTTTAAAGGATTTTATTTATTTAATTTTTAAAAGATTTATTTATTTATTTATTTATACAAGCACTGGGTACAGTCAGAAGCATGGGAGGGGTGAGAGAATTCACCAGAGCCAGAGCGGGGAGCAGAGCAGGCAGACTGACGAAGTACACTGCTGAGGGGAACAGTGGACGGCAGGAGACGTCTGCGCGCCAGGTGGGACCCTCGTCCAGTGGCCAGGGATCGAACTGGTGCTGCTGAGGTTGTGGGCAGCTTCGCAACCCAGCCCTCAACCACTGTGCCACCGGGGAGGCCCTTAAAGGATTTTAAAGTTCCAGACACTATAAAATCAGTAACACATGGAGGAGACGGTGACATCCTGAGTCATTTCAGATAAAACATTTAAGATTTACTATTAGTTTTTTTTTTAAGAGAATGTCTTTTTTTTTTTTTTAAATTTACTTTAGGGCCTCCCTGGTGGCGCAAGGGGTTAAGACACATTTGAAACTATCCACAGCCTCTGCAGCACCAGTCGATCCCTGGCCAGGGAACTACCAACATGGCGCAGCAGACCTCTTCCACCTGCCCGCTGCTCCCCTCAGCACTCACTGTATTTCAATCTACCTGTTGTTCCCCACTCTGTCTCTGGTGAATCCTCACCCCCAACACCTCTGGCCTGTACCCCAGTTCTTATATGCATAAATAAATCTTTAAATAAAGATTTAAAGATTTAAAAAAAATAATCTTTAAAGATTTATTTATGCATACAAGAGCTGCGATATAGGCCAGAGGTGCGAGGGTGAGAGGATACATCAGAGACAGAGTGGGGAGCAGAACAGGCAGATCTCCCCCACAGGTCAGAGGAGTGCTGTTCCATCTCTCCCTAGAGGTGCCAGCTGGGGTGCCATTGCCATGGGAAGGGGACAAGGTACACCATGCACTGGCCCTTAAGCCTGGAAACTGGAAACACAGCACTGACCATCTTTGGCAATTTTTGCTTCCTCCCCCACCCTACCCCCAATCCTTTTTAAACAGCCCCAGTTACTAGTGATAGATGTCAACCTCACTTAATGTTTGGTGGCAGAAGGTTGAGATTGTGTAAATGAGGAAGTGAGATGCTTCCCCCATCACAGATGGCCCCCCACTTTTTAGCCTAGACAACATCTCTTGAAGAGTTCAGTGCAGGCAGCAACACGACAGATGTCTCAGGACAATCCACTGTCTTTTCCAAAAGGCAGGGGGAGCTGCTCCTAGAATAAAGATACATGAACTTGAGGTGACTGGTCATTACACCTTGATTGCCTGGGTCATTCTCCCCACCACAGCTTCAGAGACCCCAACTGGGCAGCTAGTGAGGAAACCTTTTCCTACTTCGATACCAAAGCAGTTATTTGCTCATGTCCCCAAACTGTGCCATGTGCCCCTTCTGGGTAAGAGTGGGCTCCCCATGGCCTGTTTAGCAGCTGAAGGTGGCTTCTTGCCACTTCTGCAAGGGAGCAACCGGTATATGAGCTGCTACAATAATCACATTGATGCACAAGCCTTAGTTGTGGAAGCATTTTTAATAAATTCTTGGCTGTTAACACAAGCATTATTTTTACAAATAAGCGCTGCAAAAAGCTCACCAAAGGTCTTCCAGGAGAGACGGAATAGTTTTTACTTAAAAAATCAGATGACGAAAAATACCCTTTGGAAATACAGCATGTAGTGACCACTCCCTCCTGCCACCATTATTTGAGGAAGTGAGTCCCACTACAAGTGCAAACTGGCAGGCCTTTCGGTGAAAGGCAGCCCAGGGGGCAGTCTTGCAAACCCTAGTATGGAAGGAATAGTTGGATGACCCCAGCTGATGGTTTCCCTCTGTATAGCAATCATTTCCCAGCAAGCTGGATGTCTTGAAATGGAGCCCCCCGCCCCCCCCCCATCCCCTCTCGATGCAAGGTTACCCAGACTACTTGAGGAACTGGTCAGCAGAGACAGGAGTCTGCCTGGGCACCTGCGCTCTTCAGGGCAGCTAGCCACACAAGACAGAGAGGCGGTTTACGGTTTTTATTGTTTTATTTGGGAAAAGTGCTTCTTACAAAAGGGCAGCTGCAAAATACAGAGACCTCTGCAACAATGACTTTTTTCTCCAAGTGGAAGAATGGGTGGGATCCAAGGGAGCAAAGCAGTAGGTGGACAAATCAGGAGCATCTCCAAGTTATTTTCAGGAGGAAACAGCAATAAAACGTAAAGCTAAACTTTCCCCATCAAGGGATCTAACGACTGAAATTTAGCTTGTCTCGTGGATGACCAACCCCCTGCCCACCTCAGTGGGAAAGCGTGACTCATTACTGCAAACCAATTACTCCACTACAAGGAACACCTGAGAACCTAGTTTTGCCTCACACCTGTCTACCTGCAACGCTCAGGGATGGAATGAGGCAAATAGCCACAAAAACAAACACACAAAAACCCAACAACAAAATCCTTCAAATAAGGACAAAAGGTTTCTCAAAAAGTGCCTGGGCTGGAAAGGCTGGGGGATCATGAGACAAACAACTGTATCCGCAACCCAGTTTGTGTCAATATATGGGATAACCAGAATCCACCGCTATGGCTAAGCCCATTTATGTATAGACAGACCGAGCTAGCACTGCTCTATGAACTACCAATGTACTGCTTTGTCCTTTAAGATCTATTGGCCACACTAGGCTGAAACCACTAAACCGAGTTTTACCACTAAGGCTAAGAACACTGCATCTAGGCAGGGGCAAGAGGCTCACCACACTCTTCACTCGCTCACCACGCCTGCCAGTCCGGAGGAGCGGACTTCCAGCTCTGCGCCGCCTTCAGGCCACCAGCTCGTGCTGTCTTTCACAACTTTTCCTATCATTTAACCTGGTAAAAAATCTCTCAACACATTCGCACCTGGTTCTGGTTACCCAGTAGTATTACTTGTGTGCAATTAAACAAGAGACCAAAACCACAGAACAAGTGCACAGGGTGGGGGGTTACAGGGAGAGGAACAGATATAAAAACACAGATGTGCAGATTTCACCAGAGACCTCCAGTAGCCACCTCTTCTGCCTGCAGCCGAAGGGGACTTGCCAGTCCAGAGCCTTGACCCATCACCCTACTACCCCAGAGCAGGGTCCACGCTGCTCCATATGAACCTGGGGTCCAACGTGAGTGTGGGATTCCAGAAGCACTACCCTCCTGTGTGAATCTGGTGGCAAACAGATGACGTGACAAACCTACACTAACTGTCTGACAGTTAAATTCGTGTTACAAAAACACTAACTTTAAGATTTATTTTTGTAACTTTTTTAAACAGAGAAAACAACACACTCCTTGGGGAAAGGTGAGGAATTGAGGAGACAGGCCCTGGGTAAAAATTATTACGACAGCACCTGGAGTTGATAGGCCTGCCTAGGAGAGAGCCACGGGCACTGCCACACCAGCACAGGGGACAGCCACTGTCGGGCTCGCGGCCCAGCTCGCACGCCACGCGAAGCTGCTATAGATCCAAGTCATAGAAATCTTCCAGCTCGTCGTGAAACAAGTCCCACTCGTCTTCAGAGTCTGTCAGGTCGTCGTCCCCACCTGCAGCCAAAAGCATAAGCAACATCTCGCCCAGCTCAAAGGTCACAACCTCTTCTTCATCGTTGTCAAAGGGGTTGCTGTTCTCTCTTTCCTCAATGAGCTCCCAGAAGTGGTTCCTTCGTTGGGCCTGTAAAAAACAAGGCCGTGATAGGGATGGCACTGTCGAGTGGTATCTTCTATCCTGCGGTTTCTAAGGCAAAAACGTCCAGCACACCAGGGGGCATGGCGAACAGACTTCTCATTAGGGTTTCCACTTTACCAATTCCTCCCCTCTGGTTACGCGACGGAAAGTTTAGTCTAGCGTCTTAAGCACCTACTTTTCCTTTCACATCCCTCCCAGGTTGCTGAGGCTCGGCTCTCCTCTAACACTCTAGTCTCGCTCCCAGACCTGAGCGTTCCTCTTCTCCTTCCCCTACCCCAATCTGCTCGGGGCTCAACTGCCAGCGTGGAATTCCCCTCCTTTAAAAAAAGTGAGAGTTACCCGGTATCTGCTTGATGTTCCCACTTTCTGTCTCTGTGGCTCCTCTCTACGGCCATCAGGGTACGCATGCTTGTAAAAACAGTTCCCTCCAAATGGGCAGCTCCCACGTCCTTCATCAAAATACCTGCACGCCTTGTTGCTGGAAAGGAAAATATCGCAACCCTTATTCACAGTGGATTTCAGATCTGTATCTGACTATCATCCAGGGTTTCTTTAAAACAAGGGTTAGAAACCAGTAGGTCTGTTTACAGCCCTCCCCAAGGTGTGCTCTACAACATGTGTGTGCTAACGCATGAGACACTAAGTGTTCACGTCTAAGCTGCTTGAACAGCTCTTAAAATCGCGGCTCCAGCAGAGAAATCTTCTAGAAAGCCCCCATGAGAATACAGGACAACTAGAACATGGGTTCAGAATAAAGAAGCCCATTCACTGGGCTCTACTGGCAATACACATTTCATTATAACACAGTCCCGTGGCATGCACCCCAAGGACTGTGTTATAGCAAGATACGTAACAGGTGCTGTGATCAGGACGGACAAAATAAACTGTACTGGGAAGTCAAAGAAAGGGTAGGAAGGAGGTAGGAGTATATAATGCAGCACTGTTCTTTTCAAAGTGAACCCAAGCCACGTTGGGATCTTAGCTTGAGAAAAGGCTGCAGTGCTCATACCTCATTGCCTCCTTGTATTTCTGAATGAGTTTCTGCTTCTCTTCTTTCTCCTCCACCCAGTACTCACTTGGAATGACAAAGTTAGATGTGATCCGGCATTCTGGGCAGGACCTGGGAAACAATGAACAGGCTGCAATGCAAATTCCCCGTCACAGGCCCACTCTTCAAGGACACACCCGGTGTGTCACCTCCAGATTTAGACTTAACTGGAAGGCATTTCCTGAAAGGGCTCCACACACTGCCACATAACTGACCATTTCTTCTGAGGTAAGGCAAACTCCTTTATAAATTCAACTCAAAGGCTAGCCAGTTCATTTAAAAAAAAAAAAAAAAAAAAAAAAAAACAAAAAACAAAAACAACAACAAAAGACATTTCACACAGACTCCTTTTTCTTTCGTTTAAATAAATTTATTTCTTGTAACTTTGCTCTGTTTAGATTATGTAGTTTTTGTTCAGTTATGAGAACAATCTTTAAAGGATGGTGGATTATTGGCTAGCTTAATGGATGGAATAGGAAAGTGGAAAATGTAAAACGTCAGGAAACATACATTCAGAGCTAGATAAATTTGTTCAGAGCCTAAACCGGCTAATCCATTAAACACAATCTCCTCAGAAAAAGCACGAAGATTCTAACTGATACATAGGGTTTCCTCGTTCAAATAAAAGTAGATAAACCAACTAACCTAGAAGCTAGCTGAAATACAAAGGAAAAAAATCCCAATTAGAAGAACACCCCAGTTTCAAGATAAAATACATGCATTTAAATGCGGTCCATCTGGTTGGAAGTTGGCACAAGATACTAAATTCTTCCCCAAAATAGAAAGCACAAACGTAGATTGGGGAGGAGTCTCACTTTATGATCTTGCTCTCAAATTGCTTAGCACTCCTCCACTTGCGAATACACTTCAGACAGTAGGTGTGGTTGCAGTTGGAAAGAATCCCAAAGCGGCGCTCACTGGGGTTGGCCTTCTCATAGACCACCTCCATGCAGATCCCACACACCATGTCCTTACTGCGCTGCACGGCGAACGAGAGCTCCATGTCCTTCTCATGGGCCTCGATGCAAGACTAGAAAAAGGGTGGAGAAGGGGAATAAAGTCACTGCACACAGAAAGGTTCAAATTTGACAGCACGTTCAGAAAATCCATTACTCAACTATAAAAAGTTAACACTCCCAATTTGATATTATATCAAAATAAATCACAAGTAAATACAAGTACATTGACATCTGGGGATTTTGTGCTGTTTATTATAAAGTCAAACAATGAGAAACCAACTTCAGGACCTGAAAAACTACCCAGTTTTTTTTCTATCCCATAGCTGACCCCCTTTGCTGTTATCCAGTACTGGTTTTCTACATGTAAATTTTAACTAGGATAAAGGCTCTAATTCACAACATGACAGAAAATAAGGATGAATAAAACCAACATTAGGTGACAATTATGTGCCAGGCATTAAATTATCATATTTTTTAACAAAAGCTTTATTGAGATAATTTCACACTGCGTAACTCACTTAGATGGTTCTTTTTCTATGCCCAGTTGTGCAAACATCACCATATTCAATTAGAGCATCATCCTTAAATCCCTCTCAAAGAAAACCCATACACTCAATAGACACTTCTTCCAAACCTTCCAGTCCCAGGCAACCACTAATCTGGACCTGTGTTAAAAAAATATTTCATAGGGCCTTCCTGGTGGCATGGTGGGGTTGAGCACCGTGCCGTGAAGCTGTCTCCAGCCTCTGCAGCATGGGTTTGATTCCCAACAGGCCAGGGAGATTCCCATATGGCGCGGCAGACCTCTCCTGCCTTGCCCGCTGCTCCCCTCAGCAGTGTCCTTGGTCTGTGTGCATGTTCAGCTACCCGCTCTGTCTCTGGTGAATCCTCTCACCCCCCTGTATCTCTGGTCTGCACCCCAGCTCTTGTATACATAAAATAATCTTTAAAAAGAAATATTAATTACACAATAGATAAATGCAAAAAAGCAAGTCCTCCATAATCCCACAAAACCCTATTTTCTTGTCTTTTCCCAAACCCTTAAATAATTCCTGCAGGCACAACTGCATCCCCACTTCACAGATGAAAGATTTGTGTGGATTTAACCTGCCTAAATTCATTCTGCCAATGTTATGAAATTAGGATTCAAATGTCTAATTTTAACCAAGTTTCACCTGCTCCAACCAAATTAAATTTTTAAAAAAGATTTATTTATTTATTTACACAAGCACTGGGTACAGTCAGAAGCACGGGAGGGTGAGAGAATTCACCAGAGCCAGAGCGGGAGAGGAGCAGGCAGAAGGACCGAAGTACACTGCTGAGGGGGAGCAGCGGGCGGCAGGAGAGGTCTGTGCGCCATGCGGGACCCTCCTCCAGTGACTGGGGAGCAAACCGGCGCCGCAGAGGCCGCGGGCAGCTTCGCAACCCAGCGCTCAACCACTGTGCCACCGGGGAGGCCCCCAAATTAATTTTTATTAATAGAAAATGATTACACACTAAAATTTCTCCAATAAATGTAAGCTTTGCAATACTTTATCTCAACAGAAAAGATCGCAGCGCAAAACAGCATGTCAGAGGCCCTTCTGTGCTGCTGGATGGAGTGCACTGTCACAGCCTCAGTGGGCCAAGTGCAGCAGCAATTCCTTTGCTAAGCAAAGCTACCACATGACTCAGAAACTCCACTTTTCAAGATAAATATAACAGGTCACAAAATCTTACACATGAATGTTTATGACATAAGCCAAATGTCCATCAACTAATAAATGGGAAATTAAAATATGGTATCGCCACATAATGGATTGAGTCATAAAAGGGAACTTTGTTATACTATGTGAACAGGCTAGCCTCAAAAGGCCATGTATTACATGATTCCACTCAGGAAATATGAGAACAGACAAACACATAGACAAAGCAGACTGGTTGTCACCAGGAAGGTAGAGTAATGGATCTAGTAAACAAAATATCCTAATATTAGAACAGGGTTTAATGGTTGCACAACTCTAAATATACTAAAGCCAAGGAGAGGTGCATCTCAGAGCAAAATAAAATGTATGGAGTGTGAACCTCAGGAATGGTTAGGTTCTGAAAGCCCCAGTTCTTTCATAAAGCATTCATTAAAGCAGCCCAGGAAGCAGCACACCTGTCTTAGTGATAATCATTCAATTCAGCAAATGTTCCCCTGAAATGAACCCACATGCTGTGACGGGTGACTACTGCTCCTCACATATTTGCACACATCTTCCCAGACTTACTTTTATGTGCTGGGATCTCTGAGCAGCATCCATTGGATGGAGGACCTGCAGCCCACACATGTCACAGGAGTCTCCGTGGAGATATACACAGTTCTCCCCATATCGGCATTCTCCCACTGCAGCATAGGGGCAAAGTTGCTTCTTTGTTTCCCCTGCTGGTTGCTCTTTCTCGGGTTCCTCCTTGGTCACTGAGCCCTGCAGGGGCGCTTCAGTGCAGGAAGGGGCCGCTGAAAATGGTTAAGAGGGTGGTAAAGGTCCAAAATGGATAAGGCAGATACAACTGTAATATAACTGTGAACCTAACTGAAAAGAACTTTGATTCATTAAACCTCAGTCTATACGGAACTACTGCATTTTTTTCTAATTCTGATACTTCCCAAAAGGAAGCTTGTAAAGTTTCTCATGTATTTGTTCCATTAATTGTACTCACTAAAGTCCTTTTCACTCCATCTCTAAATCTTAACACATTAAGAGGGAAATGTGAGACCTCAGGTAACTGAAGAGCTGACATAGTCTCTTAACTTGTTTTTATTCTTCAAAATACTCACTACGGCCACAGTAGGGCTGCCCAGGAACAAACTCAATGGCATTCACCCAGTCTTCTGAGCCTGCTCCTACAGTTGCAAAGTTTGAATTTCTTGACTCAGCCTCGCCCGTATTCATTTCAGCAACTGGTCCAACTACTGATGAGAGACTTGAAGCAGCAAGAGATGATTCTGCACTTAGATCTGCAGCAGTCGCTTCTTCCTGTTTCAATGGCTTGCTGTGTTCATATCTAGAAACGTTAAAAAGCCAATTACTGTCTAACGTAAGCCTCTGGGTGGAAATACAGATGTGTTCTAGATACTACCCTTGGTTTTTTTCAAACTACTGTGCATATGAATTACCTGGAAAATTGATAAAAGGCTGATGCCTAGCTTAAGTCTGGAGCAGAGCCCATGATTCACTAAACCAGTCCCCCCCAAGATGTCCATACTGTTGCTTCAGGGAATACACTTGGAGCAGCAAGGTTGTAAATCACCGTGCAGGAATCTTTAAAGAGTCAAATATTTTAGGCCCTGCAGGTCACAGTCAAGGTCTGTTTCTCTCACCCTCCCGCGCTTCTGACTGTACCCAGTGCATGTATAACCAAAACAAATAAATAAATAAAACATGCCTCTATTAAAAAAAAAAAAACAAACTAGGAACAGCGTAGCTGAATTTGGCTTAGAGATCAGTTTGCTCTGCCCCCTGTAGACTATTCACCCTTCAAAGTCCAATCTAATTTGTGGTTTCAGACAGTGGAAGCTCGACAGTTTCCACAGTAGCTACTAAAAGATAGATACTATGCAGTCAAAACTGACCTGGTTAAACTGAGCCAACTTTAATACTCAAATTCAACAAAAATGTGAAACATTTTACCAACGAACTACAATGCTCCTATTAAGATAGTATTTACAAAATATGCAACAAGTATTTTTTTGTTCCCATTCATTTACCTCATTGCTTCCCTTTCCAAATTTGCGCCATTTACCTTTCCTCCTTTATTTTCATCTACAGAAATTATCATGAAATCTCACCTCCAAACTGAGGAAAAAATTCCCCCTGCAAGAAGCAATGTTCTGCCTCAGAAAATTCCGTAATTCTTTGAGCATTTTATGCTGATTCATTCAAAGATGATAAGTCGTGTAACTAACCTAAGCTGTGCTAGAGCCTGTGCATGTACCTAGGGCTAGCTATTCTTGCAACCAGCAAGGCAATAGTAACCACAGTTTATCTGCATTACAGGTGTCTACACTTTTATCTAAGAAGGTAAAATTAAAGCCCCCCCCGCCTTGGCATATGGCAAACACAGGGCTGGTTCACCATTTTATAGTATTTCAAATCTTACTTCTACTTGTTAGCACTAGTAACCTACTCTATCCTGCAGTATAGACAACTGAGCACCCTGCTATCAGCACACGAAATACTCAATGCATTTTATTCCATATTAAGTGAAATTGTTGTAGAGCAACACTGATACAAAACGGGGTGCCTGACTGTGGGTCCTCACCCATGTGCTTAAAAGGACTTATCAATGCTCTACTGCAGGCACAAGCAAAAGGTTAATAAAAGGTTTATTTACAAGGGAAGGGGAAATGAGGAAATGTACAGCTCAGGGAGAAAAGTGGGGGACAAAGTTTTAAATGAGTCCTACCCGATCCGCTGATCAGGAATCCCAATGGTGCTCTGAGAGCTGGCCGCCAGCCAGGAGCCGTGAAGCCAGGAAGCGATCGCGAGAGACCCCAAGGCCCACGTGTTTGGTTTTTATAGCCAACCTGGCTGCCCAACTCCACCCTCAGGTCCCAGCCTCCTTCCCTTTGATGGTGATGGGATTTGCCTTTCCCAATGTCTTGATGGCTTTAGTCTGGAGTGGGGGTGGGGTCCACAAAGCCTGTATGGGATTAACTCAGGACATCCTTTCCCCCTAACAGAATCCAAAGCCCAAGAATAAATGTAACTCACAAATACAGTCCTTCACCTGGACCAGCTCCTGCTGAGAACTGTGAGCATGTTATCTTAGAGATGATGCAGATGTAATTGTTAAGTGGTGGTTCTAATTCTAAAACATGATCTAAAGTTGTTTTGTATACTACGGGAGCTGTTATACTAGACTTAAAAACTCAGCCCCTTGGTCCCTGCACTAGCTTCATGTAGCTATTACTTATACTGGACGCAAGGACAGCCATGTATTTCTGAAGTTCATTGCACAGCACTGCTTTGAAGTTTATTTTAGAGCCTTAATAAACCTTTGAAATCTAGCCTCAAACCCGTTCTTTGCAGATTAAGCCTCTAGTGGGCAGCCACTGAAGCACCAGTTCAATCCCTGGCCTGGGAGTTGACCCACATGGTGTAGCAGACCTTTCCTGCCTCACCTGTGGCTCCCCTCAGCAGTGTATTTCAGTCAGTCTGCCTGTTCTGTGCCCCACTGTCTCTGGTGAATCCTCTCACCCCCCCACACCTCTGGCCTGTGCCCCAGCTCTTGCATGCATAAATAAAAAAAAAAAACATTTAAAAAAAAACACAAAAACTTAAAAAAAAAAAGAAAATTTACAATAAAAGAATTATATCAGGGAGGAAATAGAGAATTCACATCTAGGGAAAACAGAAAAGCACATATATTCTCGAATAACCTAATCAGGTGAAGTAACTCCCCGCTTCGTGCGAAGCAGACCTATATAAATTTGCCAGTAATTACCAGAAAGTATATAATACAAAACACTACTAGTCTTCCATTTTGAAAGTGTTTACTAAGAAAATATAGCTAGTGAAGCAGGGAAGGTAAGTAACTATAGCCCTTGGGCCGAATCTAGCTAATGAAAAAAGGGTTTTGGCATTTTTAAATGGTTGAAGAGATCACTTTGTAACACAAAAGATTCTACTAAATTCAAGTTTGTGTCCCTAAATCAAGTTTTGATGACATATAATCACCTCTATTAGCTTAGTATTACCTGATGGTGGAAAAATTGAGAATGAAAGCACCACAAGACTAGAAAACATAGGTGGGGGTAGAGACGATTAACATAGTTGCTAAAATCAGCTCTAGAAAGGAAAATCTTTAAAGACTCCTTTAAGCAGGGACTGACTGCTATAGAAAGTATATCAGGAGGGGCAGACCAGAGGTGGGGATATGGAGATTGAGGGTCATTGTAGAAAAAGAAATCCACCTAGTCACACCCTAAAAGCAATTAATTTAACAAGATAATCCGGGAAGCAGAGCTCCCTGGTGGTTGGTGCAGCTATTAGGGGGAAAAATAACGGGGCTGCCCTATAACACAGCCTCTGCAGCGCTGGCTCAATCCTGGCTGAACTGGCTGGCAGAATCCCACATGGCGCTGCAGACCTCTCCCTTCTCACCTGCTGCTCCTCTCAGCAGTCTATTTCTTCAGTCTGCCTGTTCTGTTCCCTGCTGTCTTAAACTATTTATTGGACTCACAAAGTCCATTAGAGTGGCTGTTATTAAATTTGCCCTATAATTATCAGAGAATCACTAATCAGTCAGCAAATTTTAAACAATTAAGTATTGCAAGGCAACAAAGAAATAGCTTTTCTTTCATATCTGGCAAAGAAAACCTTGACAATTTCCCCTCCCTTTAATACTGTGACTGCACAAGATGTCTTTAGTTTGAGTATTGTTTCTCCTTTTCTGCCAAATTGAAGTGGGAAAAAAAAAAGCAAAAACCAAAATGACTAATAAACTCCCGATTATCAGGGGATCCCTTTCTGAGCTACAATCACACGAAGGGGATTCCTTTTCTCTATCCCTTTATAGGTATCCTAATAAAATAGGTGCGGGATGACTGTATTAATTACCAGTCAATTCCAGTCTTTTTAAATCAAACCATTTGAACCCAGCACAACAAAATCTTGAATAGCAAAACTATAACTGGCTATGGTACTGCCCAATTATTACCTAGCATGATGGTTTAAAACACGTCAAAAGCTCTTAACACGCCTTGCTTCAAAAAGGTGGAGCTCAATCTCTCCCTTGAACATGGGCTAGGACTTGGTGACGTGACTGCAGTAAGCAAGAGTAAAGTGGAAGTGTCTGTGTAACCAAGCTTAGGTCACAACAGGCATTGTGGCTTCATCTGTTGCCGATGCTGAGGAAAGGTTTTAAGTGTGAAAACACCATGGCAGTCCCAGGGAAAAGGCCACATGGTGAGGAACTATGTCTCCTATTGTTACAGGGCAACCCCAATGTGAAAGGAGTTGGCTAAGCCGGGATCTTCACCCACGGGCTTAAAAGGGCACACACACAAAAAGGGGAAATGAAGAGAGGAGTATCCCAGGGAGAAAGATAAATTGGTGAATGTGCCCTACCGGTTCCGCTGAGCTGGGACCCCAAGAGCACCCAGCAGGCTGGTGGAAACCAAGGACCCAAGTCCCACATATCTGGTTATGTACCCAGCCTGGCTGCTTAATTCTGCCCTTGGTTCCCAGCATCCTCCCTTCAGTGGCGAAGGCATTGTGTGATTTGCAGTCCTTGGATCTCTGGCCCGGGGTCCATGAAACCGTTGGTGGAAAACATTCAGAGCCTCCTTCCCCAACACTGAGTTAACTGTCCAGACCTGCCAAGACTTCAGAGAGCAGACCTAGAAAAACCTTTAGAGCAATCTAAGCCACTCAGATAAACGTTCAGTTTTCAAGCCTTTAGATTTTCCAAGTTATTTGTGAATGCCAAGAGGTAGTTAGCATCTAAATATTTGAGTTGGGAAGATAAAAAACTATCCAATTTCTAAGCAGAATGCACTGCTGCTCAAATTGCCCTTTAACATAACTATGCCAATTCAAGGACTGATGATAGTGCAGAGCAAAAATTTACCACCCCAAAATGCGTCTGACAAAGGTTTATTTTATAGGCAAGGCTGAGAAAGCTGGGTAGAGTTCAGCCTTTACAGCATAGTTATTTACATACATAAGGAAGCTCTCCAAGGCAGCTTTGGAAGACCCCATCTTTTCAAAGGCAGAACTTAGATCTGCATAGCAGCACAGTCCCTTTGTTTACTGTGGCTTCCCAGGTAACTTCCCCTCAATGACCTTCCCCACTCCCTCTAAATTCCTTTGTCTTTAGAAGGTCATTCATGATGGTGTCTGAGCCACGTGGGTATCACCACTGTATTTTTCTAGGCTTTTCCTCTTATCAATGCCTGATATTTGTTTATCTACCAGCCTACAAGAACCCAGGGAGTTTGGGGTGACTTTCTTTGGCTCCTATCATAGAAATTAATAACTAATCCCTCTTGGTCTTCAAACATTCTGAAATGTCCTAGTATCTACGACATTCCTGAAACAATTTCCCTAAATCTTAGCTTATAATTTGCCCTGCAAACTCAGGGGTTCTGTAATGGTTTAGCCATAATGCCAAATGACTAAGCTCTCCTTCACTATAATTCACTTATTAACAAAGCATGATGGAAACAAGCCCTATTCGGTCAATTATATACCTCATTCTTGGTTTTGAAAAGGAAATGGCATACACAAACCTGCTTTCACCACACCCTGCCCCTAGATTTGCAAAAGCTGCAATAAATGAGCTTGTAAATCATCCTAAATTTAATGCTGGAAGAGCAAACTCCTTTTTTAAATCTAATATTACCTCTGAGAATTTTCTATCGGTAAATTAACATTATTAAACAAAAACTTCCAAAACACTAGTCTTTATTATTTATGAAGCCATCACATATTCTACTCTTTTTCTCCCAACCTCTTCCAGTCCTCCCCCAAGCAAAACTACTTGTAAACAAATCCTTACCTGCAGCGGTCTCCGTAAATACAGTATCCTCGCTGAAAATACTTGCACACTACACCATACGGGCTGTCAGAAAGGTCGTGCGAGTAGCGACAGTTATCTCCTTCCTTACAAACCCCATGCATGAAGTACCTGTGAGGCAAAGAACCACAAAGTTGGATTAAAAAAGACTAAAGCCAACATTCACAGAAATTGTGACCTACATTTCCTACCAGTTATATATTGGTACCATATACTAACAACAGACCCTATCGTGTTAACAACAGGCCCAAAAGGAAGTCTTCAGGTCAAGTCCCTGAATTTAAGACTAACCTAAGGCAGTTTCAGCCCCTCCCAAAGGTGGAAATTTAAACCAATCAATTGGAGTTTCCGGATCTGCAAAGAGTGAGGTAATCTGCATAAGACCCCCCTCCCTTCCTGCAGGGAAAAAGACTGCTTGAAAGAATCTTTTCTTTTGCTAATAACCTTGTTCGACCCTATTTCTGACTAAAAAAAAAAAAAAAAAAATAACCCCACCATTTTGTAAAACTGATGATGTATCTTTGACTTGCTCTATGGCGTGCTGCAGATTCACGAATTGCTTAATAAATTAATTTGAATATTGTTTTTTAACAATACAAAAAAAGCAGAACTAGACCCACAGGACCAAGAAGGCCTCCCCTGTGGCACAGAGGAAGGCTGCGTACAGATATAGGTGGCAATTTAAACTTTTGAGGTTCTCATTAAGTCTGACCTCTATTCTCATTTTACAGTCTAAAGGAGATAGTCTGTTTTCCACTAACGTTAGCCATAAGGGCAGTTCTCGCTGTAAAAAAAAAAAAAAATCAAAGATAAAGAAGCAAGAATCAACTGGTTGGACTATTGTTATGTTTCACTTTTTTTAAACACCACATGTGAAAATACAAGTAAAAACAGAGACGAAGGAATCATTTTATGTCCTCGGAAGAGCAGACTCATTCCTCTGCCTTAAACGACTAAGTGCATAGCCATTTCCAATGCGGAGGAGGCTACACAGGCTGCCCACAAATGCACTTTGACTTGTGGATCGCCTTAAGCTCAATCAAGGTCTAAAAGATTCAGGAGGAACCTTCGACCTTCCCCTTACTGCCTCAAAGAGTTTCGATAGAGGACCTGTTCCAGGAAGGGTGCCCTCACCACAGATAACTAAGGGTAATAACCAGGCAGCGGGGGACCTAGCAAGATCTGTGGTTCAAAATTCATGTTCAGGTCCCACTGTTTCTGCTGTATCAGCAAGCATTTGCTCTCACCATTTGCTCTTCCTCTCTTCTGTGAATTGTCTTCCTTTCCTGTGAGGTCCCCAAGGACCCTCCTCCCATCCTAGCTCAAGATGGCAGATAAAACCCAACTAACTGCCTGTGAGGGAGCCCCAGTCTTTGTGGGGTTCTCGTGGCATTAAATATGTTTTCCCCTTAAATCTGTCTTATATGACTTTAATTATTACATCAGTCAAATAACATAGAAGCACAGAAGGAAAAGTTTCGTCCCCTACACCAAAAACCAGGTAGGTATCAGGGTGTGAGTCAGCAGTTTTTAAGTAGACCAAAGCCAGTATTTAACCAGAAATGCAAATGTGGACCCTTATCTCAGACCTGGGGGGAGGAGTATGGGGCACGCTGCAATCTGTTTTTCTACTAGTAATCGTGTGGGGATTAGGGAAGTGATAAAGTTGTAAGCAACCCTAATCTTGTAGAGGATGTAGAAATTGGGCCTCCCCGGTGGCGCAGCGGTTGAGCGCTGGGTTGCGAAGCTGCCCGCGGCCTCTGCGGCGCAGGTTCGATCCCCGGCTGCTCCCCGGCCACCTGAGGAGGGTCCCACATGGCGCGCAGACCTCTCCTGCCGCCCGCTGCTCCCCTCAGCAGTGTACTTCGGTCCTTCTGCCTGCTCTGCTCCCCGCTCTGGCTCTGGTGAATTCTCTCACCCTCCCGCGCTTCTGACTGTACCCAGTGCATGTATAAACAAAAACAAGCAAACAAATAAAATAAATAAATAAATAAATAAAAAAAAAAAAAAAAAAAGAAATAGCATCACCCCTTCCATCCTCTCCTCACTAACTTCCTTCAGGGCTCCTTTTTTTTTTTTTTTTTTACCTCTGGTGGTTTCCTAGTCAGTCTCTGTCTCTCTTGTCTCTCTCAAAGATTTATTTATTTATTTATTTATTTGTGCACAGAAGAACTGAGCTGTAGGCCAGAGGTGAGGGGCAATGGGTGAGAGGATGCACCAGAGACACAGCGGGGAACAGAACAGGCAGAGCTATTAAAATACACTGCTGAGGGGAGCAGCAGGCAAGACAGGAGAGGTCTGTTGCACCAGGTGGGTTAGCTCCCAGTCTGGTGACTGAACCCAGGCCCCAGGGATGACAGCACTGAGATTTAGCCCCCAGGCCAAGAGGGAGAGCCTAGGCTCTTCTCTTAAGCATGGTTATGAAGACTTAATTTTGGTAAACCACAACTCCCCAAATATACACCGAAGTAAACAGTACGGAAAAAGTGCCCATTTAGGGGTTGTGAATGTGGCTGACCTTGTAGGGGGCACTGCTATAACCAAGCATGTCACACGATTACCTAGAAAGTAAACAGAATAGCTCTAAGTATATTCCACTTGCCCACAGATTTGAGCATACTCATATTTGCCTAAGGAACCTTGAAGATGGCGGCCCCCATTGACACAAAGGTTTCATACAGAGAGTACTAGGAAGTGATGTTTCCTTGGGACAACAGACAACATGGAAAGAAAGTATATACTGTCTTGGTGGAAAAGCTGCAATTATATCAGGATCCTAAAGTACTCCAATTATGATCCATAACAAAATATAAAAACACAGTAGGAAGTCATGTTATAATTATAATTTACCTAATTTCAGCTGTTACTAGGTTGAACTTAATCTAACTCAGATTTGAACTTTAAGTAGGGCTTCATTCTGCAAACTCTGAAACTGTCTAAGACATATATATACCCTACACCAATAGATGATTTCATAAATGATTACACTGTAATCACCATTACAGCACAAACATGCTTCAAAGTATCTATAAAAGCAGCCACAGTTGACAGCTTTGAAATCAGTGTCACTGTTTGGATACAGTTGTTTACTGTTCTCTCATTCTCACATTTTGAACTAAAAAGGTATTTCTTTGGTGTCAGTTTGACCTCAAAGATACAAACATTGATGGTTTTAGTCCTGATCAAGTATCTACCTAGACATCTCAAGCCTGATAGCCACGCAGCTCTTAAATCTCAGGCACAATATTTGAGATTTTAGGTTTTGTCCTTAAATCCTACTTTGTGCTTTGCTCTCACTCATTCAGTGGTGGCCCTTGGATTTATGATGCTCTGCATTCTATCTGATCATGTCTGACCCACCCCACGAAAAATCATGTATGCCCTGAATCATAACACCTGACATTGCTAACTTGAACCTTGTTTCCACAACCATTTGCTTGAAAGAGCTTCCCTCCCTAACACCTGCACTGTCACCTTCAGCATGACACTCTCCCTCAGGTCTTTGCAACACCCACACCGCTATCACCTTATGAGTAAAAACTGTTCTCTAGAATCCAAAACGAATACAAATAGACTGGCTGCCCTAGGCTGGCCGTGGCACTGGCCTATTAGCACTTTTTGCCCTAGAGCGTAATACAGCACTGTGACCAAGAGTCAAGAGAACATGGACAAAAATTTGGGGGTGGGGGGAGATGGGGCTGGACAGCTAAGGAACTGACGCATTGGATTGAAATGTAGTAATACTACATCAAACTGCCATCCAGGGAGCCTGCCTTGGCCAGCTGATTACATCTGCATTAAGACACTTCTGTTGATCCCAACTTTCAGGGCCGGCGGTGAACACAGCCACCACCCAGCCACCACAATCAGGCTGCATCAGAAGTACAGTGGTTGGCTCTAAGCAGTACTAAAGAGCACGGGCTCAGAATTAGAAAGCTTGGATTCCAGCTCTGTCACTAGCTTTGTGACAAAGTAAGCTATTTCATCTGTTTCACCACCCTTTTATATGTAAAAACTGAAAAAAACAGTAACAGTAATAAAGGTCTGCATGTGCGAAGTCACTGTGCAGTGTCTCTGCTGCCATTCTAGGCCGTTCTCACAGCTCTCCTTCCACACCTCTGGGTGCCTGTCAAACCAGACCTTGGCCACGTCTGTTTCTGACCATGTGTTTAAGAGGGAGATGAACAAATCAGTCAAGAGTAAGGCAACCAGTAAGGCAAAAGACAAACCACAAGGAAATTTTCCACCATAGGAGCAGGTTAGCCCAGAGAAGATAAAGTCTCCACCTTTCCCAGCACTGTTCCTGACACAGAGACTACACGCAGGAAAGTATCACATACCGGCTCAACGTCAGGACTGAGAAAGGGAACTACCCAGCAATGAAATATATTCCTGAGCCCCAGAACCAACTATCATCCCTGAAGGAATTCAAGTAGACACAAAATCACCTGATACTACAGAATCAACAGAAACACTAGAATAAAAGTTCTAATTAGTTACTGCCAAATACCAAGAATTATTTAACACGGTTTTTTGGTATGCATGGCCTGGGTTTTTGGATTGTTTTACTTGCCTTTGTCTCTCAGTGATGCTCACACTGTTGGCAAACCCAGAACTACAAACCCTCCTCAGTGAAATCCCTTCTCGCCAGTTCATCTAACAAGAGGGCACGTTAGTATACGTAACAGACACAAAGAGGCAACCCTCTCTCAATGACTTCTCCCCAAAACAAAACCAATAAAAAAGTGCTTTTGTTTTTCAGTGCCAGTGCCTAAAAGCCACCATCCTCATTCACCTTGATACCACCACCCGGTGAACTATCTTCAGTGAAAGGCCAGGCTGTATGATTTCGAAAGTTCCTTCCACCTTGAACATTTATGACTCCAAGCAGACAGCTGACCGGAGCCTCACTGCTGTACTGCTTGGAAACCTAAGCAGGGTCATCAACGTACATTACAAGGAACCAGTAACAGCCTACAAGGGTACAAGAGAACCAAATACTGCCAAGAAAACCGTCAACAAGAAAACACAGAGAGGGGCTCCCTGGTGGCGCAAGGGGTAAAGCACCACACTATGAAGCAACCTGCAGCCTCTGCAGCACGAACTGGATCCCCCAGCTGGCCAGGGAGCAACTCATATGACACAGCAGACCTCTCCTGTCTCACCCGCAGCTCCCCTCAGCAGTGTATTTCAGTCAGTCTGTCTGTTCTGCTCCCCACTCTGTCTCTGCTGAATCCTCTCACCGCCCCCACCCCCAACCACACCAACTCTTCTATGCATAAATAAATAAATCTTTTTTTTTTTTGTGGGACCCTCGCCAGCGGCCGGGGAACGAACCAGGGGCGGTCCTAAAATAAATCTTTTTTTAAAAAGAGAAAGAACACTAAATAGCTTGCAAGTCGTACTATTTTACGATGGAAATCGCAGCACTTGCATGAAGAATTTCTGGAAAGAGTCCCTTCATTTTCAAGTTCTATTAACTACACTTCAAGTTTGAAATACCAAAATGAAAAAATACCTTGAGATTTGCATATTATTTCAAGCGCCAGAACACTCATCTACATTGTAGAAGTAGTGCCTAAATTCAAAATTACCGTTTGTGTATTATAACTCTTCTTGAGGTATTGTTTAGCTCCACACACTCAGAGAAAGAGAAGCAACAGCATTTCTCTTTCATAGCCATTTCTCTAGTAAAAGGTGTGAAAACCAGCCTGGTGGGGGCAGCATAACACAGTTTCTTGGGAAAAGCACACTTAGGTTACAGGTTTTCCTCTAAGCAGCTGAAATAAAACACAATGAAATAGAATTTTGAGAGAAATATTAAGAAAATAGTATCCAATAAGAAAATACAGGCGGGCCTCCCTGATGGCTCAGCGGTTGAGCGCTGGGTTGCAAAGCTGCCCGCAGCCTCTGCGGCTCCGGGTTCTATCCCCGGCTGCTCCCCGGCCACCGGAGGAGGGTCCCACATGGCGCGCAGACCTATCCTGCCGCCCCCTGCTCCCCTCAGCAGTGTACTTCGGTCCTTCTGCCTGCTCTGCTCCCTGCTCTGGCTCTGGTGAGTTCTCTCACCCTCCCGTGCTTCTGACTGTACCCAGTGCATGTATAAACAAAAAACAAACAAACAAACAAATAAATAAAACATGCCTCTATTAAAAAAAAAAAAGAAAATACAGGCAACTCAGCAATTAAAAAAAATCCATCATCCAAGCAACTCCACTAAGATCACACCCTATGTGAAGAAAACAGCCTTCACACATTCCTAGTTATGAGGGGGAAATAGGCACAAACACCAGAATACACCCCTGTCTTGAATTCCCATCCAAAGGAGGTTTCGCTATTAACACCTTGAAAATATTTATTTATAGTAAAGACCATTTCTGCATTCCTTACATCTAGCACTACGTCTCTAGGTGCATTCATCTTCCATTAAGTCCTCTGTTTCTGAATACCTGCAAGCACTAGGAGTCACACAAGCACATACTAATGTAGTAGGGTTAGGTGCAGGTTATCAACATCAATTCAGGCATTTACTAAATATATCGGAGCCGAGTAAAGCCCTACATTTACAATGATAACCACAATAGGGCTCCTGTTCTCAGAATAAATGAAAACATCATACTTGATATTCTCTATTCCAAGGAAAAATTTTAAAAAATAGATCATGAGGGCCTCCCTGGTGGTGCAAGGGGGTAAGATGCAACCTATGAAGCTGTCTGCAGCCTCAGCAGCACCAATTCGAACCCTGACCGACCAGGGAGCAACTCAAATGGTGCAGGAGACCTCTCCTGACTCGCCGGCTGCTCCCCTCAGCAGTGTATTTCCTCAGTCTGCCTGTTCTGTTTCCCGCTCTGTCTCTGGTGAATCCTCCCACCCCTTGCACCTCTGGCCTGTACCCCAGCTCTTGTATGCATAAATAATCTTTAAAAAAAAAAGATCATGAAAATAGTATTGAGTATTAAAACTCAAGACATAGCAACTGGCACTTTTTAAGATAACTTCCTGAGGCAAAAACTAGACAAATCTATATAAAAACAAAACAAACCCCTCCACAATGAAAGCCTGTATCTTTTATATAATCCTTTTTCAAACTATTAGATTATTCAGCTATGTAATTTCTTAAATACATAAATCAATTAATTCGAGGCAAACAACTCCCTCTGGTCTAGGAACAATCAAGGAGATTTCATTAACTCAAAGATCCTAAAGGAAAGCAAAGAGGAAGGATTAGTCTGGTAAGCTGTTTTGAGTTCTGATATTTGTGTGGACTAGAAAAGGGGAAACAGTACCCACCAGAAGAGAAAGTAAGTAGGAAATGACAGTGACGTCTCTGCAGAGATGTATTTAGGCTCAAGTTGCAGAGACATAGGATGCTAATGAGACGACTGTAGAAATGTCAGATTTGACGCCAGACTAGCCTCTCCCGAGACTGCAGACGGTGGGGACACTGAGGCATGTGTAGGATAGTTCTTAAGGAGCTCACATAATTCAAGGAAGATTATTTGCAGTATATGCAGGCAGGCTACAAAGTTCAGGAATTTAACCTTCAGGTTACAAGAGCGCTTTTATTTTGAAAGATTCAAAATACAAACCAACCGCAGCACTGCAGAGAAGAGGATCCCAGGTCCCTGGAGCAGGATTGTTAAATTGTCCTCCCCTGCTGTATCGCACTCGATCCCATTCTTAGGATCTACAAATGACTGATCTACCTAAAAGAGCTTTCATGCTTTCTCCACCTCCATTCCGGAAAATAAATTTAATGAAGCTTATTACTCATTTAGGCGTATTATGCCTGAAATGGCTCATAGGAGCAGCCCGAGCAAGCGCCGATCTCGCTGTTACCACGAGGGCCCTGCGGTCCGCACACCGGGACTATTTTTGCGTCTTTACAAATATGAACCACCCGACTCAGGTGAGAGCCGGCGCTCCAGCTGCATTTCCCCCCAACCTACAGAAAAGCAAAAGCCGGTCGCCAACGGACGGCTTCTTAACCCCCAGCGGGCCGTCCAGGTCCACGCCCGACCTTCCCCGGACCCTGCGGCCGCGTCCACCCGCGAGCGCCCGCGGGGCCGCCGGCCACGACTCGCCGCATTTCTCGGCACGTTCTCCCCGGACCCCCGGGCCCCCCCCCCGCCCCGGCTCCCGCGGGGACCGCGGCCCCGGGGACCCCCGCGCGCCGGCGGCCGGCGCGCCCGGGAGACCCCGCGGCGGGCGGGGAGGGGCAGCCGTGGCCCCGGGCCGGAGCCGACCTCCGCGCGGCCCTCGGGCCGGAGACAAAGCTCGGGGCCGCCGCGACAGACATACAAAGAGGCAGCGGCGGAGAGCGACCCTCGGGGGGGGGAGGGGAGGGAGAGGGGAGGGGAGGGGAGGGAGGGCCGGAGGCGGGGCGGGGGCCGCGGGGAGACGTTACGAACGGATGACAGCGCGGCCGCCGGGCCCGGCTCCCCGCCCGCCCTCCGAGCCCGCGGGCCGCGCCGGGGCAGGGGCGCCCGGCCCGGCGACCTCCGCTGCGCGCCCGCCGCCCGGGCCGGGAGGGCGGCGGGGGCGGCCCCGAGCGCGCGCCCGGCGAGGCCGGCGGGGGTTGGCGCGGGCGGGCGGGCGGGGAGGCCGCGGGCCCCGCCAAACGCCGGCGCCGGCCCCGCCGCCCGGCCCGGCCCGCCCGCCCCCCGCGGCCGCGGCCCCGCCCGCCGCGCTCACCTGCAGGTGACCTGCTTGGTCCAGCAGCCGCCGCCGCCGGCCCCCCCGGCCCCCGCGCCCGCGGGCGGGGACGCGGCCGTGGGGCTCGGGGAGGGGGAGGCCGCCGCCGCCGCTGCCGCTCCGGCTCCTGATGTTGTGGCTGTTGTTCCGGGAGCCGCAGCCTCCGCCATTACTGTTTATCCCACACGGCAGGGGCGCCGGAACTTCCGGGATCACATAGTTCCGGCCCGGCGGCGGGAGGAGGCGGCCGGCAGGGCGGGCGGAGGGCGGAGGGGGGACCGCGGCGCCCGCTCGCCGCCCGCTCGCCGCCCGCGTCGCGTCGCCCAGCGCGGCCGCCGCGCACGCTGCGGGGCCGCCCGCGCCGGCCCGCCCCCGCGCCCGCTGATTGGCGGACGGGCCGCCGGCGCAGGGGGTGGGGCCGGCGCGGCTCCGCCCCGCCCCGCCCCCCGCGACTCCCGGGCGGCGCAGACCCGGGGGCGCACCTCCTGGGGGGGTGCGGGGCGCCGGGGAGCGGGGCTTGAACCCCGGTGTTCCCGTTTTCTGGTTCCACTAGAAGTTACTCGCGCTGTGAACCTGAGCGCCGTCCCCAGCGGTCCCTGAGCCTCTCCTCTCGGGTGGGAATGAGAATCGGCGCTGCCTCCCAGGGCTGCCGCAAGAAAGGGTTACGCGGGGCCTCTGGGCGGCGCAGGGGTTAAAGGCTCAGCGCTGTCAATCGCCGGCCACTGCGGCATGCAAGCGTTCGCTTCCAGGCCAGGGAGCTAACTCAAGTTCGATCCCAGGCCAGGGAGCTAACCCAAGTTCGATCCCAGGCCAGGGAGCTAACCCACCTGGCGCAGCAGAGCTCACCCACCTGGCAGAGCTCACCCCACTGGTGCAGCAGAGCTAACCCCCCTGGAGCAGCAGAGCTAATCCGCCTGGCACAGCAGAGCTCACCCCACTGGTGCAGCAGAGCTAACCCCCTGGCACAGCACAGCTGACCCCCCTGGCCCAGCAGACTTCTCCTATCTCACCCTCTGCTCCCCTCAGCAGTGTATTTCAATCTGCCTGTTCTGCTCCCCACTCTGCTCTGGTGAATCCTCTCACCCCCCCTACACCTCTCATCTCCACACACATCTATCACCCTCCCCACACCTATTACCCACACCTCTCACCCTCCCCCCCAACACACCTCTGGCCTACACCCCAGTTCTTGTATGCATAAATAAATAAAACAAATGTAAAAAAAAGGAAAGGCTCACATAATATGTGTGACAATCACTGAGCTTAGTGCCCGGTACACAGTAAACACTTAAAAAGTTCTCATTCCTCTACCCCAGCAGGAATAATGTGGTGCTTGAGCAAAGGTTCTGCCGTCAGCTGGTCTCTCTTATCTCGGGCTTCTCCCTTCCGAAGCTATGTGCTCTATCTCCTAGTGCTCCTGCTTTCTCCATCCATATCATCATCATGTTGTTATTATTATTTTTTGAAAATGATGACAGTACCTACCCCAGAGGTGGTTGTGAAAATTAAATCAAATTGCACGTAAAACCCTTAGCAGGCACTTCATACTACAGTTTTGATGATGAATAACAAAAGGTATCTGGAATATCCCAGCTCCTAAGAGTCATTTCTGAAACTATGAAAATTAAAATGCATTTCAGCCTATATCCCCACGAATGCCCACTGCCCACTCAGATGCCATATATTAAGTAGTGCTCTTTTTTTTTCATTTGTATTTCTGTAGTCTCTCCACCCTGAGAAAGTGAAAATCTACCACACTGGTCATCAGACCACAACGTACTTAACAATGTCCAGCAAGGACAATGGCAAAATCAAAAACAATGTTTTCCCAAGGCCACACCGTGACAGCAGATGACCCATAATCCCTTTCTCTTGAGTAATCACGGCTTTTAACTAATGATTTTCCCAGCCTCACTCGATTTCTCCCTCTGATGTCCCAAAGATTGCTGAGACACCCAGTTTCTAAATAGGGTCACGGTAGCACTTGCCCAGGAGTGGTCCCTCCCACACGCTCACCCAGCTAGAGGCCTCCCTACCTGCTTTCCACTGGAACCTCCAGGCCTCTGCTCCCTGGTCTCCCCTGCTGGTGTGAGTTAATAGATTTAACTTTGCTGGGCAGCAGGTGTATTGCTACTGGGTCCCACCCTCCTGCCAAGCTCTCAGTGAGATCTCAGAAGATCCTAAACGATCTCAGGTCTGGAAAGGCGCTGTCCCTGAACTTCCAAATGCAATCCAGTCTCGTCTCTTCTCCTTTCCCGTATTTCTCCAGAAACTCTGACCTCGTACCCATCCAAACACACCAGACTCTCAAAGGGCCTTCGCATGAGCTGTTCCCTTTGGGGGGGTGACCCTCTTCACCCAGGAATTTCCTTGGCTAGTGAAGAAGGGCCTTCCCAAAAACATTCAGATGCTTGAGATGAGCTTTTGCCAAGATGCCCAGAGCAGGCTCTGTCCAATGTGTGTCTCCTGGGCATGTGGAGCAGGGGGTCTGTGGAGACTCTGGGGGTTTCAAGAGAAACTGTTACCATTACCTGGAAGAATGAAGATGTGGGGGAAGGGGGCAGGTATCATCCAGCATAGTATTATCCATAGAAACACTGTGTCTATCTGAGAAACCCATGTTTGTTTGCTGAGTAAACCTGAGATCATTCCCTCTTCTTTCTTCTATGGTATCCGGCTCCTTGATGCCCTCATCCCGTCCCTTAGCTCAAGACAGAAACCCTCAGTCCATCCTGAGGGAATTTAGTCCTGTACATCCTCCATGCACATGTAGTTACATTTGGTCTTTTTCTCCTGCTAACCTGTCTGCTGTACATGTGTTTGTCCTGCCAGCCTGAGAAACACCCAGAAGGGTGGTTAAATTTCGCCCCCTCACCCCAACACTGGCTCCTCAAAGCTTTGACCAAATCTCAACAAGAAATCCTAAATCTCGAGTTCTCCTCTGATGGCCTTTTAAAATATTGCGATGTTTCCACATGCCCCCTCCCCATTTCCCACCCTATGGTTTCCTCGTCCACCGACTCTGCTCTACCTTTTTCATCACTGCATAGTATTTACCTTCTAATTTACTATAGAATGTGTCTCTTAAGTTTTTATGTGTCTCTCCTGGCTAGAATATAAGTTCTATGAGCCAGGGATCTTCACTGTTTGCTATGCCAAGTGCGTAGAACAGTGTCTGGCACCATCTGGCATATCATAGGTGCTGAATAGTATCTGAGAATGAATAGAGTGTCCTGATGTGATAAAGTTACCCATCAGCGCTACACCTTGCCTCACCATCCATACCAACTAGGACTAAGAACATTTGGTGTTAGGGGCCTCACTGGTGGCACAAGGGTTAAGTTTCAGCGCTATCAAGCTATCACCACTATGGCCTGAGTTCAATGCTGGCCAGGGAGCTGACCACATGGCACAGCAGACCTCTCCTGTCTCGCCTGCTGCTTCCCTCAGCAGTGTATTTCAGTCAATCTGCCTGTTCTGCTCCCCACTCTCTCTGGTAAATCCTCTCACCCACCCCACCCTGGCCTACACCCCAGTTCTTGTATGCATCAATAAAAAATAAATCTTTTTTAAAAAAAAGAATGTTTGGTAGTATAGGGAAGCAAAATAAACAAATCAGATTTTCTGATTTAGATCTCAGGGTTAGGAGGGGAAGATTTGGCAAAAGGATGATGGATACAATTCTCCGCTCAAGGAATCTTCACTAGTGACTCTGCTGTCCCCAGCCACCAAGTGGGGTTCCCTGGGGCAGGTGGGGTGAAGGGCTGCCTGAGTGGTGTGATGTGAGCACCCAGGAATCTTCTCCGAGCACTGAGGCCTTTTCAGGGGTGCCCGTGTGCTGAGGAGGACTCACCTCACCAACCCACGCTCATTGGCCATCGAGGCCAACTGAACAGTACTTGGCAGAAGCGAGAGAAGGAGAGAAAGGGGGTGGTTAATGAAAAGAGGGGGTGGGGGATCCACGTCACAATGTGGCAGAGAGCCAGTCGGTTCCTGACTAGGGTGATTATATTTATGAAAACAAAAATGTTGCATGGCTTGACAAGAAACTCGTCAGGACAGGAATGTATCCTTTATAAGGGCAGGATATTAGGGCAGAGGTGTGCACAGAGAAAAAATGATGTGAAGATACAGGGAGAAAACAGCTTCAGGAGAGGGAACTCGGAAGAAACTGACCCTTGGCCTTCTAAGCTCCAGATGGTGAGAATAAATCTGTGTGGATTAAGCTACCTCATCTGTGGTACTTTGTTAGTTCAGCCTTGATAAACTAATTGAGGCCCCTACTCACCCCTCCAGCTCCATGCCTCTACAAAGCTCCCTTCTCTTGGTTTCTAGAACTTGTCCTACTCCCTCCTGTCATGTGGCTATCTCAAGCCATACCCAACCTTCTCTCCTTTGTCTCTCCCACTACAGACATCAGATACCGACTTCCTCGCATTCCCTGCAGTAAGGAATGGTCATGTGACAGTTCTGGCCAATGAGACATGAGGGCAAGATGGCAGGTGGGCTTATAGGAAAGAGATCCTGGATTTTGGGGATAAGAGACTGACTCCCGCTGACTTGGACTTCACTGCTGGGTTCTACTTGGTCCTCCCTGATGTCGAGCTGGAGTGATAAGAGGACAAGCCTGAAAATAAGAACTGATGCATATTTGAGCATCCCTGGTGGTGCAAGGGTTAAAGACAGTGCAATCCAGCTATAGCCAGCCACTGCAGCACAAGTTCAATCCAGCCCCCCTTCGCTGGCTGGCCAGGGAGCAACCCACATGGCACAGCAGACCTCTCCTGTCTGGCCCTCTGCTCCCCTCAGCAGTGTATTTCAGTAGATCTGCCTGTTCTGCTCCCCACTCTCTCTGGTGAATCCTCTTGCTCCCTGCATCTCTTATCTACACCCCAGTTCTTGTGTGCATAAATAAATAAATCTAAAAAAAAAAACAACCGATGCATAAGAGACGGCAGGGGGAAGGCAGAAAGAGGCTGCTGCTTCGTGACCACGTGGAGCAGGTGTGCCAGTGCCAGCAGCCACCCCCTCCATATCTGGTTGTGTTAGCAAACAAACAAAGAAACAAACAAGCAAACAAAACAGTTGGTTTAAACAGCCAGCTATCAGATTTTCTGTTTCTTGGAGCCAAAGCATTTCTGACCAAAATGCGACTCAAGGTTTTGCATACACTGTTCTCCTCCGGGAACACAACCGTCACATGTCAGCTCAAGTGCCACTTTCTTTCTTTTCTTTTTTTTAAAGATTTATTTATTTATGCATACAGGAACTGGGGTATAGGCCAGAGGTGCGGGTATGTGTATGTGTGTGTGTGTGTGTGTGTGTGTGTG